GGGCTCCACATGTTCTGTGGCCAGTACTTTTGTAGGGCCCTCAATACAAGTATTCAGACCATCGAGACAAATCAGGGCTATTTCGCTCTTGACCTATGGCCGGCGCCTTTCTTTCCGTACGGTTTTTGGGGGATTCTTCCGTTGATCTTCCGCGTTCGCCATTTTGGCCGTCCAGACGGGCGTCGGATCTTTTAAGACGCCCTTCGATCTTGTATGATCCCCACGGAATCTTACAGGGTTCGGAGTAGTTCCCCATGGGATCCTTATGGAATCCTATAGGATCCCGATGGATCCCCATAGCATCCCTGTGGAATCCTATAGGACCCCTATGCAATCTTATAGGATTCCTATGGATGGAATCTCATAGGATCCTTGTATTCAAGCCTGAGGAGACCCGGTTGAATTTTATTAGATCCCTACGGGATCCCATCTGATTCGTAGTAGTACTGCCGGTTCTCCGGTGCAACAAGATCCACCACGCAGGCAGTCAAACATGTATGTTGGGCTCCTCGGTCTCGTAATTTGGTTGTGTCGTTTGTGGTCCCAGGTGCTCCATCTTGAACTTCGAGCCGGATGGCACCAATGGACGGCTTTTGCGCCCTGGCCCTGGCCTCCCTGCTTCGTGACAAAATCACGACGGGGGGTCTTTGCAATTTCTTTCGCGTGAGAGAGCGACTCGGGATGAAAGGCCGGTCTCAGGAAGGGGTCCAGACCTTGGGGGACCCCACGCCGCGAAAAAATCGTGACGTCGGATTTGCGGGGAGCGTTCTGGCAGCCGCAGGGCAGCACTGTATGATATGTCTGCGCTCTCCGCCGCATCGGGGCGCCCGTCCTGGGGCGCCCGGAGAGCTCCTGTCCTCTGGGGCGCTCCAGGAAGGCCCTCGCTCCGGAAGGGCCCCAACGGGAGGCAGTGGAAGGCCGGTGGAGCCCTGAGGCCATGGCGTCTCATTGTTTTGAGCCGCGCGTTTTTCTATAGCTTCGGGCCGCCCGAGACATGTCGCGGAAGCACGTGGTCCTGGGCTCTGGTCGTGGTCTTCCGTCGCGTTTGCATGACGCCGCGGCGTAGGATCTGAGGAGAGGCGGCTTGAAGCAAGACGAGGGTGCCTCCGCTGGCGCAGGTCGGCGGCAGCTTTCGGCGGAGACCCGCGGGAGTTAGACGCTGTTCGATTCGGAGATCGACTACAGATATACTCCAGAATTTACATGTTCGTCGAATCTACAAAGGATACGGAACTATAATCTTCGTAGATCTATTCATTGTCTATACAACTTTAGTAGATCCGACGAATGTTTATATGCAGATCTGTCTACCTATATATATATATATACACATGAATTTCGGGTACATCAATTCTGTAGTCGATATCCTCCTTGAAATGTGCACCCCCAAGTGGTGCGAACATTTTTGGTTGGGGATTCCTGTAGTCGGCCGGTCCGTCGCCGCGGCAGGCTGTGGCATAGGTTTTTCTGCCCGCCAGAGGGGGGGAGGTGCGGGTGGCCGCGCCCCTCGGCAGCATGCTTCATTTTTTGGTGCCGCTCTTTGCTTCTAGAAGAGAAGGCGTCCAGGCCGATGCGCAACTCGTCGTCGTCATCGTCGCCGCCGCCGCCGTCGTCGCCGCCGTCGTCGCCGTCGTCGTCGTCGTCGTCATCGTCGTCGTCGTCCCTCCTTAGTCCTCCTTACGTTCGGGTCGGACGCGCGCCTCCAAGGAGAACACATAGCACTAATGTGTGTCTTCGCGCGTCCCAGGTCTCCGCTCTTTCCTCCCTCCCCCCTCGTCCTCGTCCTCGGTGTGCTTCCTGTCCTCACTCCCCCCGCCCTCCTCCCTCTCCTCATCCTTCTCTTCTCCTCCTCCTGTCCCTCTTCCCGTGCCCCCCGCCCGGGAGCCCACGAAGGCAGCGGTGGGGGTGGGGCCGCCGACCGCAGCGCTCGCCTCGCCGCCCCGAGGCTGGCAGATCACTTTGACTTCAAGTGGAAGTTCCGCGATCCGCGTCCGTTCGTGAAGCAGGCCCTGGGGCGGAGGAGGAGGAATCTGATGATGAGGATGCGGATGAGGAAGGAACAGGGAGGAGGAGGAGGAGGAGGAGGAGGAGGAAGAAGAGGAAGACTATGAGGAGGAGGAGGAGGAGGAGGAGGAGGAGGAGGAGGAGGAGCAGGAGGAGGAGGATAAGGAGGAGGAGGCGGAGGAGGCGGATGAGGAGGAGGAGGAGGACAAGTGTAAACCCAGGGGTCATCAACGATGTCGGACTACACCCTCCCTCCAAGCTTCCTCTTCATAGGCCCCTACAACTGTTCATGTCCACAGAGGGAACTGCCTCTTTGGAAGAAAACCGTTTGAAGACCCCGAAGCATGCCAAAGCATTGTTCTCGGGATTCCAACGCCACGGATCAATCTGATTGATGCGTCTTGACGATCCGGAATTGTGCCAGAACGCCATTCCTGGGATTCCAACGCCGCGAATCAACGTATCTGCTGCGACCTCGTAATCCTGAGTCCTTCCAAAACATGATTTCTGGTACGTTGATTATTGGAATCCGTGAAATTCTTGCATAACAAATCACATGTGCGCGGCGGCTCAGGTGAGAGCCACATTTTGAAAGGGAACCGCCCTCAATCAGTTAGATTCTTGCAAATGTTTCAAACCAATGTGCGCGGCGCTAAGGCGAGAGCCACATTTTGAAGACGGGTCGCCCTCAATCAGTGAAATTCTTGCACATGGAAAACATCGGATGTGCGCGGCGCTGAGGCGAGAGCCACATGTTGAACATGGGTTGTCCTCGATCTGTGAAACTCTTGCAATGTTGCCAACGAATGTGCGCGGCGCTGAGGCGAGAGCCATATTTTGAAAGCGGGTTGCCTTTCAATCCGTGCAATTCTTGCAAATGTTGAATGCGAATGTGCGCGGCGCCCAGGCGAGAGCCACATGTTGAAAACGACCCGCCCTTCATCTGTGAAACTGGTGCTATTTCTAAAGCTTCAGGGTCATACGTGATGAGGAAGTCTGAGGCGAAACGCCCGGCCCGCCCTTGAATCTGACTTCGGGGTGCGACAGTTATTCATGAGGAAAAGGAATGGAGGAGAAGGAGGATGAGGAGGCGGAGGAGGAGGAGGAGGAGGAGGAGGAGGAGGAGGAGGAGGAGGAGGAGGAGGGGGAGGAGAAGGAGGAGGAGGAGGAGGAGGCGAATGAGGCGAAGGAGGCGCAGGAGGCGGGGGAGGCGGGGGAGGCGGAGGCGGAGAGAGGCAGGATGACGAGGATGAGGAGGAGGAGGAGGAGGAGGATGAGAAGGAGGAGGAGGAGACGAGGAGGAGAATGAGGACGAGGAGGAGGATGAGGAGGAGGTGGAGAAGAAGGAAAAGGAGGAGGAGGAGCAGCAGGAGGAGGAGGAGGGAGACATGGATGGGCAGGAGGAGGAGGCGGAGGAGGAGGAGGAGGAGGCGGAGGAGGAGGAGGAGGAAGAGGAGGAGGAGGAGGAGGGAGGGGGGGGGGAGGAGGAGGGGGAGGGGGAGGGGGAGGGGGAGGTGGAGGGGAGTAGTAGTAGTAGTAGGAAGAGGAGGAGGAGCAGGAGAGGAGGAGGAGCAAGGAGGAGGAGGAGGAGGAGGAGGCGAATGAGGCGAAGGAGGCGCAGGAGGCGGGGAGGCGGGGGAGGCGGGGGAGGCGGAGGAGAGAGGATGACGAGGATGAGGAGGAGGAGGAGGAGGAGGAGGATGAGAAGGAGGAGGAGGAGGACGAGGAGGAGAATGAGGACGAGGAGGAGGATGAGGAGGAGGTGGAGAAGAAGGAAAAGGAGGAGGAGGAGCAGCAGGAGGAGGAGGAGGAGGAGGAGGACATGGATGGGGCAGGAGGAGGAGGCGGAGGAGGAGGAGGAGGAGGCGGAGGAGGAGGAGGAGGAAGAGGAGGAGGAGGAGGAGGAGGAGGGGGAGGGGGAGGAGGAGGGGGAGGGGGAGGGGGAGGGGAGGTGGAGGGGGAGTAGTAGTAGTAGGAAGAGGAGGAGGAGCAGGAGGAGGAGGAGGAGGAGGAGGAGGCGCAGGCGGAGTCGGAGTCGGAGGCGGCGGAGGAGGCGGTGGTGGAGGCGGGGGCGGAGGAGGAGGAGGAGGAGGAGGAAGAAGAAGAAGAAGAAGAAGCAGATGAATCCCATTACGAATAATAGTAAGAAGAATATTGAGACGACGACGACGACGACGACGACGACGACGACGACGACGACGACGACGACGACGACGACGACGACGACGACTACTACTACTACTACTACTGCTACTGCTACTACTACTACTACTGCTACGGCTACTGCTACTGCTACTGCTACTGCTACTACTACTGCTACTGCTGCTGCTGCTCTGACTACTCTACTCCTACTCCTACTCCTACTCCTACTCCTATCCTACTCCTACTCCTACTACTACTACTACTACTACTACTACTACTACTACTACTACTACTACTACTACTACTACTACTACTACTACTACTACTACTACTTACTACTACTACTACTACTACTACTACTACTACTACTACTACTACTACTACTACTACTACTACTACTACTACTACTACTACTACTACTACTACTTCTCTAGGGGACAACGTGGCCTACGTTACCAGATTATGAGGAGGAATCCCCCGGGATTCCAGAGTATTCCCTCGGGACTTGAGAGGATTCGCTGGCATTCCTCCAGATTCTGTGGGATTTCTTAGGGTTCCGCGAGATCCCAGTGGATCCCTGTAGAATCCTACAGATGTCTTAGGATTTCTCAGGGTGCATCGTGGTTTCTCAGGGTTTCTCAGAAGTCCAGTGGGTTCCACAGGATTCCTCTTGACTTCTTTGTGATTCCTCGGTGGCCGTTAGCGTTCCTGAGGTTTTCTCAGGATTCCTTAGGGTTCCTTGGGCTCGGCGTCGGTTGTTTAGGGTCTCCCAGGTTTCTTTAGATTTACTTGGGATTGTTGAATTCATCAGGGCTCCGAGCGGTTCCTCAGGATGCCTGAGGATTTCTCTGGGCTCGTCTGAATTATTTTGAACATTCTTCACGGTTCTGCAGGATTCTGTGCGGTTTTGCAGAATTCTTCACGGTTCCCAGACGCTTTCTCAGGATTCAGCATTTTTTGTTATATATGTATATCAACGTAATGTCTTGAAACTGTAGACGATGCGTAGGAACTCTGCAAGACATCTGAGGATGCTGGAGGTTTGTCCTGGATTTCCCAGTGATCTGCATCGGAGGATTCCATTCTGGGTTCCTCAGGATCCCTAAAGGATCTACGAGGATTCCGCAGGGTTCCTTTGGATTCCCTCGGATTCCTCAGCGACCTCAGGATTCCCCACGCTTCGTCATGATGTCCCAGGATCCCTCAGAAATCCGCGGGTTGTGTCAGGGTTCCTCAAGATTCTGGTGGATTCTTTCGGATTGTTCATGAGCCTTGAGGATTCCGGAGCAATTCTTGATTTTACTAGGGCTCCGCAGGATTCCCAAGAGTTCGTCAGGGTTCCTCGGGGGTCCTCAGGTGTCGTCCGGGCTTCTCAGTGCTCCTTTTGGATTTTTGAAGATCTCGTATGGTTCCTCAGGATCCCCCCAGATTCTGCAAGATCCCAAATTGTTTGTCCAGAGTTTCTCCTAGATCCTGAGGGTTCCTGGGCATGCTCCGCAGGATTCATCAGGATTCGTCGGGGCGTTTCATCGCGCGCGCCTTCCCGAACCCGAAGTCGAACCCGGTACCATTTTTCCAATCCTGGCAACACAGACTACGTTTAGCTGGATTATTTCTACTCGTACTGATGATAATGCTCAGGATCTGAGTCAAAAGAATAGTATCAAGCAGACGAAGAGTATTATTACGAATAATAATATACATGCGAAGAAGACGACCACTCATGCTTTTGCTGGCAATGATAATAGCAAGGAGACTACTCAGACTAGTAATAACACGCATCAACAGACGTATAATCAGAAGCATCAGCCGACACATACTTATAATACTTCAGAAGAGGACGATGATGACGAAGCGTACCAATAGTACAATTAACACTACTATTGGCATTGAATAATAATCGTGGTACTAGTAGTACTAGTAGTACTTGTAGTACTACTCTTATTGGTAGTAGTAGTAGTAGTAGTAGTAGTAGTAGTAGTAGTAGTAGTAGTAGTAGTAGTAGTAGTAGTAGTACTACTACTACTACTAATATAGCGTATCAGTAACATCAGTACCACTAAGCAAAATAACAGTAACCATATACATCAGACGACGACGACGAAAGGCGAACCATAAGACTACTAAACTCATCATTAGAATGGGAATGCGACGCAGCACGCTTCGGTGGATCATATTTGTAATACTTATTAGAGTACGACTAACAAGACACACAGTACTACGAATAATGGGAAGCATCATGCTGTTACTAATCATGATAGCAGTGATAATGCTGATACGACACATCGCAATAACGATGTTTATTTCATAAGGAAAACATATACCACCAACACTAACCATAGGAAGGAAGAGGCCTCGATCGTTGGCCTCGATCCTCCTCTTAAGAGCAAGAGCAGGACGAGTAGGAGGACGAGTAGGAGGAGGCGGAGGAGGAGGAGGACAGTAGCTCTCAAGCCTTTCAGGCCGTCCGAGGGGGTCAGTGTGGTTCGGTCCGGGGCAGGAGGAGCAGGAGGGGGGAGGAGGAGGATGAGGATGAGGATGAGGATGAGGGGAGGAGGAGGAGGAGGAGGAAGAGGAGGAGGAAGATGCGGAGGAGGAGGAGGTGGCGGAGGATGCGAGGAGGAGGAGAAGGAGGAGGAGAGGAGGGGAGGAGGAGGAGGAGGAGGAAGGGGAAGAGGAAGAAGCGGAGGAGGAGGAGGTCGGAGGAGGCGAAGAAGGAGGAGGATGAGGAGGTGGAGGAGTAGGAGGAGGAAGAGGCGGAGGAGGTCAGAGAAGGCGGCGGCGGAGGAGGAGGAGAGGAGGAGGAGGAGGAGGAGGAGGAGGAGGAGAAGGAGGAGGAGGAGGAGGAGGAGGAGGAGGAGGAGGAGGGAGGAGGAGGAGGAGGAGGAGGTAAAGGAGGCAGTGGAGGAGGAGGAGGAGGAGCAGGAGGAGGAGGACTGCTTGGGAGCAGGTGAGGGGGCGAGGGCTCCAGCTGATCCAGCAGACCAGCCCGCAGCCTGAAGCCTGGACGAGGAATAAAAGGATGAGAAGGATGAGAAGGAGGAGGAGGAGGAGGAGGAGGAGGAGGAGGAGGAGGGGGAGGGGAGGAGGAGGAGGAAGAGGAGGAGGAGGAGGAGGAGGAGGAGGAGGAGGAGGAGGAGGTGCAGGTGGAGGAGGAGGACGAGGAGGAGGACGAGGAGGAGGACGAGCAGGAGAAAGCAGCGCACCGGGGGAGCGGCGCCGGCGCCCCCAGATGGGCCTCGTGCCGCGCCCCATCGCGCAGCCGGCCATGGGCCTGCAGGCGCGGCCGGGTGGGCGGGTGGGCGGGCTTCGGCCGCCGCCGGCACGCCCGGGCACCCAGCGGTGGGCAGGCTTCGATCTGCGCCGGGCGGCCGGCCGCCGTTCCGGGGGCCCCCATAGGCGGGGCGGTTGGCCACTTCTCGGGGGCCCTCAAGCGAGGTGGTGACCACACCGTGTGGTGAGTCGGTGGGGATTCGGGGTCACCGCACGGTTTTGGGACTCGGGTCGTGCTCTGAGGATGTCTCGGGCGACCTGGGCCTCCACGGTCTCAAGACCGTGTGGTGACGGACCCTGCAGTGAGGTCTTTGCGGATTTCGAGGCCGCCGCCGGGTCTGTCCCCCTACGGTCTTGGGACCCCCAGACACCTCGAGGAATAGCAAGCGGCACGCGTACACGTAAGCTTGTGGAGCTCCGCGCGGATCTCTGGGATCGGCGGCGGGCTCCCCTGGCGACGCCTCCGGCGCCGCTCCAGGCGCGCTGCGCGCGCCAGGGAGAGGGTTCAGCGCCGATCCAGAAACTTTCTGTCTTGGCAGCCTTTTCCCGAAACGGTGCTTGCTCGTAGGGGTTCTTCTTTGGTTTCTAAGGGCCCAGGCTCCGTTGTCGGGTCCGCCGCCCTGCGGTCGCCGTCGCCGCCCCGTCGCAGCCTCGTCGCCGCCCGTCGTCTGGGCTCCGTGGTCGGGTCCGCCGCTCTGTGGTCGCCGTCGCCGCCCCGTCCCCGCCCCATCGCCGCGGCCCCGCTGCACAGCCCCAGCGCAATCGAATCGTTGCAATCCAATCGATTGCAATTCCATCGATGGCAGTCGATTGGAAAGGCCCTGTGTGCGGCCCCGTTTGCGGCTCCGCTCCCGCCCGTCTCCGCTGCCCCGTTGCAATCACCCCCCTTGCATTGCAGTCGCATTGCATTGCCATCGCATTGCAATCGCATTGCGTTGCATTGCAACTGCTTTGCATTGCATCATGTCGCTTGGCTTTGCGTTGTATTGCGTTGCATTGCGTTGCGTCGCGGTGCGGTGCTTTGCTTTGCTTTGCCTTGCTTTGCAGTGCAATCGCATTGCATCGCGTTGTGTGGCTTTGCATTGCACTGCGTTGCATTGCGTTGCATGTCTTCGCATTGCTCTGCATTGCGTTGCGTTGCTTTGCATTGCTTTTCATTTCTTCGCATTGCTTTGCAATGCTTTGCATTGCTTTGCTTTGCTTTGCACTGCTGGGCACTGCTGGGCATTGCTGGGCACTGCTGGGCATTGCTTGGCATTGCATGGCATTGATGCTTTGCATTACTTGTCATTGCTTGCTCTTTCTTGGTTTTGCTTGGTTTTGCTTTGCTTTGCTTTGCAGTACGTTGAATTGCTTCATATTGCTTTGCATTGCTTGCACGGCTTTGCATTGCATTGTATTGCTTTGCATTGGTTTCGATTTTTGTTTCGATTTTTTGCAGTCCACAAGCAATGTGGTGCACTTTTTGTATTGCGCCTCATGGATTGCACCACGTAGACTGCGCCTCATGGGTTGCCCCATGGATTCCTCCCGGATTGCCTCCTTGATTGCCTCATGGATTGCCTCCTGGATTGAGCAAGTCATTGTTTTGGGATTTGGGATCCGCGTTGGCTAACAGTTCTTCTTCTGACACCGTCGGGTGACACTGACATGCCCGCGTCGCGAAAAAAGTCACGCCGGATCTGCTTTGGCCGTTTTTTCCACGTCTTGGCCCCCTTTCTGGTCCCAGGGACCGTCGCAGGGCCACTCGGGACGACGAGCATCTGGCTCCTGGGGAGGGGTCCAGACTTCTGGGTAGCCACGCCGCGAACCAGAGCACGCCGCCGGATGTTTCGGCGTGCAGGGTTTGGGGGCCTTCTCCCAGCCATGAGGGCCGGGCTCCTCGGGCTCCTCGGGCTCCTCCTCCTCCTCCTCCTCCTCCTCCTCCTCCTCCTCCTCCTCCTCCCTCTCCAGCGGCCCCAGAGCTGCCCAGACGGCCTGAGGTGGCGGCACGGAGGCACCAGGAGGCTTCATTGGCTGTCCCGCGGGGCTCCCAGCCAGGCCCGGATGGGTTCAAGGTGGCCCAAGAAGACTCGACGAGCGCTCCCCAGAGGGCCCCAAGACGCAAAAAAAAATCAGACTTTTTCGAGAGTTTTTCAATGTTTCGGGGCTTCTCGACTTTCGAGCTTCGGGCCTTCCACGACGTCCCAAGAGGCCCCTAAGATCGCCCCAGGACGGCTCAAGAGGCCCCCAAGAGGGCCCCAAGACGGGCCAAGAGGGTCCCCAGAGGGCCCAAAGAGGGGCCCAAGACTAACTAAGAGGCAGAAGGAGGTGGAGGAGGGAGGGGTGGAGGAGGAGGAGGAGGAGGAGGAGGAGGAGGAGGAGGAGGAGGAGGAGGAGGAGGGGAAGGAGGAGGAGGGGGAGGAGGAGGAGGAGGAGGAGGGAGGAGGAGGAGGAGGAGGAGGAGGGGAGGAGGGAGGAGGGGAGGAGGAGGAGAAGGCGGAGGAGGAGGAGGAGGAGGAGAAGTAGGAGGAGGAGGAGGATGAGGAGGAGGAGGAGGAGGAGGAGGAGGAGGGGGAGGTCCAGGGGGAGGTCGAGGGGCACACGGAGGAGGAGGCGGAGGAGGAGGAGGAGGAAGATGAGGAGGAGGAGAAGGATGAGAAGGAGGGCGATGATGATGTGGATGTTCTCGTCGTCGTCGTGGCCGCGGGACGGGCAGGGCTACGGCGTCGACATGGAGCGCCAAGAGGTGCTTGGGGGCTTTCCAGCCAGATCAGCCTCGCATTTTGCAGCGCTCCCCTTTCTGCGTGCCGTATTTTGCCCTGCGCCCACTATTTTTGTTTTCCTTCCCCTCGGTGTCCTCCTGTTTCTCCTCTCCTGATGCTCCTCCTCCTCCTCCTCCTCCTCTCCCTCCACCTACTCTTCCTCTTCGTATCCTACTTCCTCGGTCTCCTCCCTCTCCTCCTCCTCGTTTTGCTCCTCCTCCCTCTCCCTCCTCCTCCATCTCCCTCTCCCTTCTCCTCCTCCTTCCCCTCCTCTCGCTTTTCTTCCTCCTCCGCCGCGTCCTCCTGTTTCTCTCCTCCCGATCTCGTGCTCTCTGAACTGTGTGCTCTGGGTCAGCCCGCTAGTTGATGGAATGGCGCGTTCCCTCCCCGAGTTCGAATCAGCCCTTCCTGCTTTGGCTTCATCAAGGGGGATCGGTGATCGAGGGTCGAAGCATTCGGACGCTCTTCCTGCAGTTTGTGCCTCGGGAGGCCTGCAGCCATGTCCCACGTCCGCGTCCCGACTGGGTGTCATGCCTGTACTTTCTCTGCCCCCCTTCCTCTTCCCCCTCCTCCTCCTCCTCCTCCTCCTCCTCCTCCCTTTCCCTCCTCCTCCTCCTCCTCCTCCTCCCTCTCGTCCCTTTAGTTACAGTTGTAGCTTTTGCCAATTGTAGTCTTTCCACCTCTCCCCGTGCCTCTCTGCCCCTTCGTCCCTGCACAGGTGCAGATGATTCTGGCGTTGCCCATGCATCAGGAGATGCATCACCATATGTTGGCGATTCTGATTTCACCTGCAGTTTGGCCGACCCATCTGTTGTTGAACATAGGATCTCTTGGATTCCCATATTCCAATCTACTTCAAGCGCCTTCCTACTTCATTTATCGAGTGGCTTCACCTGTTCCCGTCCTCCTCGGGGGGCGGGCGGACACCTAATCTCTTTTCAATGCCTTCCCACTTCATGCTTCTACCTATTTCTTCCGACCGATGGGTACAGAGACAATTACGTGCATCGGCCATGTAATCTTGAGTCGTAGCCGAGGTGCATGATGTGTAAGAGGTGCCCCTAGATACTCATCTCGCATTGAATCACCCACGTGTCGTCGGTCGACTGCCACGAGGGCCGTGCTCAGGAGTACGATGATGCATATTGTTCGGGCTGCCTGCGGCGTCTCTGTTCCCTTGGAGGCTCTCGTGGGGGCTATCTGTGTGTCTTGGGGCTCCCCCTCAATGGTTAATTCAAGCTTCGCGCGGCCCGCTTAGCTTCGACCGGAAGAGGTGCGCTCTCGACCCGCGAACCAAAAAAGTGTGTCTTGGGGCCGTCTTGGGCTCCCGTGGGGCCCCCTTGGGTCCGCTCGGGGCCCTTGGGACACTTTGGGTCGTCTTCGGGCTCTCCCGGGCCTTCTTTGGTGCACTCTTGCCCCCCTCTCGGCTGTCTTTGTGCACTCTTGGTCCCCTGGGGCCATCTTGGACGCCTCTTGGAGCCCTCTCTGACCATCACGATGTCCTCTTGGGCCACCTGTGGGCTCCGATTGGCCTGCTCTGGGCCCCTCTTGTGCCGTCTTGGGGCCCTCCGAAGCTGTCCACGGCCGTTGCGTCGCGGGGGGGGGGAGGAGGGCTCCTGCAGGGCCTCCCAGGGCTCCCGCCGCCGCTTTGGGGCTCCTCCAAGGGCCTCTGGTTCGGCACCGTCTTGGGCCGAGGGGCCCAGCAGACGCAGCATCCAGTGGGGGCCCATGCCAAGGAACACCCTGCGTGCCTCCAGGGTGCCTCCAGGGTGCCCTGGGTTTCTTGGGTTTCGATGGCTTTGCCGGGGAAGGCGTGACGTTCCCGCACCAAAGATCGATGGACGTCCTGGGGTCTCAGGGTTGGGTTTCTTGTGGAAGGCCTCTTGGGGACTGGCCTCCACTGTATGCCAACGCACACGGTTTGCATTTCTCCCCATCCCTCTTGCGTCGGGTTCTCGCCTGGAAGAGAGACCTGTGGTCCTCCACTTAGCCTCCTCCCCGCCTCCCACCTCCCCTCTCTCACCCTCCTCCTGCTAGCCTGCCGCCTCGCCATCTGCGGGGCAGCTTGGGCAGCCTGCCACTTTCGTGACCGCCTGGGAGGTCCAGCGGACTGGTGTGCTCTACGCAGGCTCACATTCCATTCTGGCACCCTTGGGGGCTGCCAACTGCGCAATGATCGCCACGTTCTTGAGCTCCTTGGAGGTCCAGCGAAGTGGTGCTCTACGCAGGCCCAAATTCGACTCTGCCGCCCTGGGGGGCTGCCGATTGCGTACCAGTCGCCGCTTTGTGGGCTCCTGGAAGGTCAATCAGAGGTGTGTTTCACGCAGGCCCAAACGAGACCTTGCCACCCTGGTTGGCTGCCAACTGCGTACGGTCAACCCGCATAGTGAGGATGGGCAACCTTTCCAAGGCTACCCTTGCATCCTCGTCCCTTCGGCCCATCCTTGGTAACTTTCGCTGGCCAACCTCGTTCGAAAAACATTATCATGGCCCTCCAAGGCCCTTGCATCCTTACCGCGCATCCTTATTCTACATACTGACTGTAACCGTCGCCACTTCAGTGAGCTCCCGGAGTGTCCAGCGGAGTCGCAGACTCAAGTTCGACCTTGCCACCCTGGGGGGCTGCAAACTGTGCAACTCTTGTCGCTCTCGTGAGCTCCTGGGAGGTCCAGCGGAGAGGTGCTCCACGCAAGCACATGTCAGACCTCGCCACCCTGTGGGGGCTGCTCATTGTGCAACCGTCGCCACTTCTGTAAGCTGCTGGAAGTCCAGCGGAGTGGTGCTCTACGCAGACCCAAATTCGACCTCGTCACACTGGGGGCTGTCCGTTGTGTAACGGTCGCCACTCTCGTGGGTTCCTGGGACGTGCAACCAGCAGCTTCTCACGCAGATCCGGGTTCGGCCTCGCCGTTATCACTTTCATCATATCTCTGCCCACCATTCTCCTTCAGGCTTTCTGGAATGTCTTAATGTACCCTCATTCCCGCACGCGGTCATCGTTGTCTGAACTACTTTTCTTTTTCATGTCATGTCTTTGTGTCCTGTGAGTAGTGCTACGCGCGAGCCTCCCATATAGCTTTCATAATCAGTCGCGTCCATTGTCGCGTCATTCTAATCTGGCCCGATGCTCTGGTCGCTTTTTGAAGATGGGCTGGGTATGTCGCTGGGGTAGTTGATATTTTTTCTTTTGCTTCCCAGGATGGCTTCCTTGACTTCTCCCTGATGTCTTTAAAGCCTCTTCGGGCTTCTTTGGCGCCTCTTGGGATCTTCTTGCGGGCTGTGTGGTGTCTCTTGAGACAGTGTTGGCCTCGATGGTCTTCCCAGGCCGTCTTGGAACGCTTGGAGGGCCGTGGAGAGCCCTGGGTGAAGCTCCGGGTCGCCCAGCGAGCCTCGGGGAGGGTGCTGTACGCAGGCGAGTGTGAGTTTTATTTAAGGGGCCCAGGAAACTTGCAGAAGCTCCACCAGACAGGCCTCGACATTCCTGCCGCGCTCCGGCGTGCAGGGGCGAGCGCGGCGGCGGCTTGTGCAGCCGTGCCTCGTCGAGAGAAAGCGCCCGCGGCCCGCCGCGCCTCAGGTCCGCGCCGGCTGGGGCGGCTCCACCAGGGTGTTCGTGGTGCCGGTGGTGAACGTCGAAGGCAGGGCGCGGGGCTGATCAACTACACGTAAGAATGACCTTTCGCCGGAGTGACCTTTGGTGCGGGCATCATGGGGTCCCCCGATCACCGATTGCGATGCGATAGTAGCGTCTTGCGCGCCTGAGTTTGGTCCCCCCGCGGCCTCCCAAAAGCCGCGCACCAAAGGTCACTCCTACCCAGGGTCACTCTTGCGTGTAGCCGAGCTGAAGAGACGGGGGTCAAGGCAAGCGGGGGTGCACCGGAGCGTCGGATCTCGCGGGATTTTGCAGGGCCAGGGGGCGCGCTGGCCTGGGCGCGGGCGCAGGCTCCTGCCGGGTGTCCTGCAGGATCTCGCAGGGTCCTGCAACGCCTGACTGGCCCGGGTCAGAAGCTCCCCGACGGGGTGCGGGGGCTGGGGCACGTCAGGGGTACAGCTCGGGGGGCACCGGCTCAGGGGGGGCGCATCGACCCCCAGCTGCCCCCACTCTTCGCCGAGTTACAGTCAGCCCGCATACAGCGCCGTTTTAACACATGCTCCGCGTGCGGATCGTGTATACAAACATGCAGGGATTTAGCATCAAAAACAACGAGGAGTTCATGCATACATTTATTCATGAATCAATCATGTATTAAACATCTTATATTTTTAGAAATCCCATGTATTAAAAACTGCCCTGTAGTGAGGATGGACAATCTTCCCAAGGGTACCCTTGCATCCGTGCCTCCTCGGTCCATCCTTGGCCACTTTCGTTGGCCGCGGCCCGCTCGAGCAGCGTCGAAACGGCCTTCCAAGGCCCTACAGTATCATCCTTGTCGCGCATCCTTGTGATACCGGCCGACTGTAGGGGCCCGATGGCCCACCCCGTTCAGGGACGTGCGCCGATCTGCAATGCCGGGGCCTGTCTCCGATCTGTCGGCGACGGGTCGCCGACTGCAGGTCGATGTTTCACCCCCTGGGCCGGCCCCCCCCTATCGTTGCCCCTCGAGGAGTCGTGGCTCTCACAAGCCCCCGTCGGCGGGGGGGGGTCCTCCTCTTCCTTTCCTCCCTGCCCGCGGTGTTGGAGTCACAGGAGTGATCCTTCTGCCCTGGTAGAGCTTGGCATCGCTCGGACGTGTGTATTTTTCCTTCGGGGAGGACCATCGAGGAGCATCCTTGATCATTTGGCGAAAAACCACGCACGAAACCGAAAAAAACACAGGGAATGGACGTCCGAGCGATGGCAGGACAGGGTCGTCAGGACGCAGCAGTCGCCCCAGAGGTGGGTGCTCTGGCAAGGTACAGGATTTTCAGACGGCCGTCTTCCAACAGGGCATTTCCCACCGTGAAGATGAACCTCTTGTTAGGACCTGTGAGGAGGGGACTTGGAGGGAGGGCTTACTGCAGCCTCGTGCAGGTGGGCCCCTTCTCGTGCCATGGGAAGGCGCTGTTTGCACAGGTGGCGGCATCCTTACCACCTACCGCAGGTGTGCTGTCTGCTGGGCGGAGGTTGTCCTTTGGTGTGCGGTGCCTTGTGCAGCCACAGTGCGGTGTCCTGGCCCTGGGCAGGCCTCTTTTGAGTCTTCCTGGGCACCTCTACCATCCACAGTGACGTGCTCGGCGTCTGCTGGGTGGCTCTGCTGTCGTGTGCCGCTGGCAGGCATGTCTGTTGCCGTCGTCGACCAGACTGGCGTCCTGCTGCTCGCTCGCCTCGTGCGGGGAGTCGCCTCGGCCGCTGGCCCTGGCTGGTAGTGGGTCGGAGGTCCTGGGAAACTCATGCGTTGCGACGCAAATCATGGTCGCGGTCCGCGAAGGTGCCAACACCAAGGGGTGAGCCCTGCGGCGTGAAAGCGTCTGCACCACAGCGACCACAGGCGGGGCACTGTGTCAAGCTGGAAACCCGCGCGAGCCAGCGTGGCACGCGGACTCGTGGATCGAGGAAGCGCACGTGTGGATTCGGTCGCGTGCACTAGCGAGGGGCCCCGTGCAAGTGCACTCCTTCTCTCTCTCTCTATATTGCACATCCCCTCTTGCTTCATCTCAGGTGCTGCCTTGACAGGCGGTCTGGCCTCGTGGCGGGCGCACCCTGTGCATACGTGCACGTTGGATCTGAGGGCTCGCTGCGGTTCGCCTCAAGCTTGGGTGCAGACGGGCGCGTGCTTTTGCTGCCGTCTGGGCGAGCTGCGTTCCCCCGGGCGGCAGCATTCGCCAGCGGAATTTGACAGGGGCGAGGTCGAGGGGCATGGGCAACATCATCCTGACTGGAATGACCGGGATGCCACTGTTTGGCTGCTGCCGTGCGAGCAGGATCCCCCAGCTGACTCCTGTCGGCCCTCTGGCATCCCCTCGCCCTTCTGCGCACACGCCAGACGGCGCGCGCGCGGGCCGCTGCTGCCGCCGCCGCGGCGGTTCGCGCCCGGCGGCGGGCCGGCAGGCCGCGCGCCCCGCGGGCGCCCCATCTGTTTTGGCCCGAGGCTGCTCCTGCGTGTTTGGCGCGCGGGGGGAGGGGAGTGGGAGGTCCGGGGCGGGAATTTGTACATGACCACCGCCGGGAGGGTCGGTTTTCGGAGCCTCGGCAGGCGGTGGATATGGATATATTATAGTCGGGCCCCGGGGGGCCGAAAGATGTCCAGATCCACCGCCCGCCGGGGCACGGGGACGTCGGTTCCCAGGCGGTGGATGTGGACAAATCCCCGCATCGCAGAGAGGTCCTCGGGGGCAGCGACAGGGGGGGATAATCACAGGGGGGGATGCATGGACCCCCAATCGCCCATTGATCGTCGACAGGGGCCCGATAGCCACAACCCGCCCAGGAAGGTGCGGATTCATAATCGGTGGCCTATCGCCGATCTATCGGTCGGCGATGTATCGCCGATTCCAGGTCGAAGCATCCCCCTCTGTGCCAGTCCCCCCCTTATCGTTGCCCCTCAAGTAAGAGGTCCCAGGTTCGAGAAAAAGCACGCCATAAGCAGAAACTTTGAGCGATCCGCGCGGATTTCATGGATCCGCGCTGGGCCCCCCCCCAAAGGCGCCTCCGGCGCCGCCTCTGGAGCGCTCCGCGCGCCAGGGAGGGTGGGCCAGCGCAGATCCAAGACCTCCGCGCGAAGCGCGAAAAGTTTATGTTTATGGCGCCCTTCCTTCTTCTAGAGGCGGGATTTATACATTTGGCTGCGACCGAGGGGGAATTTATACATTCGGCGGCGAGCGGGCGAAGGAGCGCGTGGTGAAAAAATCGCTACGGGAGGTTTCTTCTGCAATTTTTGATCTCCGGGGGTCCTCACTGGGCCCCAGGACCGTCAACAAACGACTGAGGACGAGAAACCGGTCCCAGGGAAGGGGTCCAGAACTCTGGGGGTCGGCGTTGTGAAAAATCACGACGTCAGGGGTCTGGGAAATCGGCGCTGAGCGGGAAGGCGAAACGAGAAGGAGAAGGCCTTCTCAGAAGGCGGCGGGACTCCTCAGAAGCCCTCGCGCCTTCTGAGAAGTCTTTTTCTGTCTTCGGGGAAGGCTCAGAAGACTTCTCAGAAGGCCTGGGGACTTCCGAACCTTCTGAGAAGGCCTTCTCCTTCTCACTTCCTCCCCTCGCTCGTCGCCGATACATGCAGTCAACCCGCATAGTAAGGATGGGCAACCTTCCCAGTGGTACCCTTGCATCCTTGCCCCTTCGGCCCATCCTCAGCGACTCTCGCTGGCCAACTCCCCCCCGGGGGCTCGCCGCCACGCTCCTGCGCGTATCAGGAGGGAACAAAAACGCACAGACACAATTAATCGTCGATTCCCAGGAAAATATAGGAAAATATGGGACGTGGGGGGGGGAGACAAAAACCCAGAAAACATGGGAAACTATAGGGGAATCCTCTTATCAGTGTGAATTTATTTGTGTGTCCCAGGGCCCCTTCAGCGTACCCGACCTGCGGGCCTCGGGGGCCCTGCAGCGGCCGGCCCCTCCGGCGCGGCCCCCCCCGAGGGTCGCCCCGGGAGGCCCGGCGGCGCCCCGCGACGCCGGCTCGACGCCTCGCAGCGCGGCGTCGCCCGCGGGGGGCACGTCCTGCGACCCGAGCAGGCTCGCAGCTCTGTGGACCACGGCCACTGAAGAGGGAGCATGTCGCCAAATCCTTTCCAGATGTCTATGAACCCATGTGAAGAGCATGCCTTTATATCTGGAGGACATTTCCACACATTTAAGCACCTGTTTCATTCAATGATCGGATTGTTAGGGTGTCCATTGTCGGGCCGCCCGCGCGGCCGCAGTTTTCGTCCCCGGCTGCGGCGGCCCTGGCATCCAGCCGCACCTGCAGTCGACGCCCGAGATCGCCAACAAGGCCCCGCAGGGGTCTCCCCTTCCCGGCGGCCGTGCTTTGTCGTTCTCCGTCGTCGCCGTCGTCGTCGTTGTCGATTTTAAGTCGGGCATGTCCCTCTACAGGAGGAGTATCCAAAATAGTGTAAAAATAGTCCAGGGGCGATTTTCCGATTTTGTGCGGAATCATTCTTGAATCTGTTTATGACATTTTTGATTTTTCTCCCAATTCGCCTGTAGCAGGACATGCCCGACCTAATCGTTGTCGTCCTTCGTCGCCGTCCGCTGCCGCCGCCTTCGTTGCAGTCGTCGCCGTCGTTGCCGTCGTTGTCGTTCACGGCTTTGACGTCGTCGACGTCATTGACGTCGTCGTCATCGTCGCCATCGTCGCTAAAAAAACCTTTTCACGTCGCCGTCCGTCGTCGTCGTCGTCCTCTGTCGCCCCGTCGTCGTCGTCGTCGTCGTCGTCGTCGTCGTCGTCGTCGTCGTCGTTTTCGTCGTCGTCCTACTCGCCATCGTCCTCCTTCATCCTCTCTTTTGCTCCTTCCTCCGCCTCCCGGTCTCCACCCTCCTCTCCTCTCGTCCTCTCGACTCCTCGACTCCTCCCCACCCTGACAAGACTTGCCCTCCCAACCTGAATGCCATTCCCCTAGTTGCTGTCGTCGTCATCGCCGTCATCGCCGTCATCGCCCTCACCCGCTCATCCTCATCGTTGGGTTCGTCGTGTGTCGTGCGTCGTTGGTTGTCGGCGTCGGTCGTCGTCGTCGTCGTCGTCGTCGTCGTCGTCGTCGTCGTCGTCGTCGTCGTCATCGTCGTCGTCGTCGTCGTCGTCGTCGTCGTCGTCGGTGCCCGCCTTCACGCAAGGGCGGCCAGGAGCGAGGCAGGCTCGTTGGCCTTTCTTCAGTGCCACCGCCGCCGGCCGTCGTGTCCGTGGCCCCCGCCGCCGGCCGTCGCGGAATTGCTCGGCGACGACGCCCCCCTCCTGGCCGCCGCCGCCGCTCCCCGTGCCTCGCTGCCCAGCTGCTCGAGCGCCGTCCGCTCCGGCACGCCCGGGGCAGCCCACGGGACCCTCGGAAAGCGGGGGGCGCCCAAGACGGGGGGGGGTTGCGGGGCCCGGGGTCGACGGGCACGTGAGGGTGGCCCTGCGCCGGAGGGACCCTGTGGTGCGGGCTCACCGGGCCCCCCCCCCCGGTCGCGGAGCGCGATGGGAGGGTGGCTGCCTGCGCGCTTGGATTTGGCCGCCCTGCGCCCCCGTCATCCGCGCAGGAAAGGTCACTCCCGTCCAGGGTCACCCTTGTCTCTACGCACCCTCCTCCTCCACCTCCACCTTCTCCTCCTCTTTCTCCTCCTCCTCCTCCCTCCTCCTCCCTCCTCCTCCTCCCTCCTCCTCCTCCTCCTCCTCCTCCTCCTCCTCCTCCTCCTCCTCCTCCTCCTCCTCCTCCTTCCCTCCTCCCTCCTCCTCGTCCGCGCACATGCCTCGTGCCATGAGGCGCTCACCCCACCCCTGACGTCCGCCCAGATGATTCCGTTGGTTCACATGTTGCTTCCATCCGCGGCCCCACGGGTCCCCCGACCGTTTCCCCGAGGGCCGTTCTTCTCGCGCTGGAGATGCCCGAGAATCAGCCACTCGGAGGGCTGCACCGCAGGGAGGTTCCCTCCTCCTCCTCCTCCTCCTCCTCCTCCTCCTCCTCCTTATCCTTCCTCCTCCTCATTCTCCTCCCTACTTCTTCTCCTCCTCCTCCTCCTCCTCCTCCTCCTTCTCCTCCTCCTCCTCCCTCCTCCTCCTTTTCCTCCTCCCTTCTCCCTCCTCCTCCCTCCTCCTCCTCCTCCTCCTCCTCTTCCTCCTGCTCCTCCTTCCTCCTCCCTCTCCTCCTCCTCCTCCTCCTCCTCCTCCTCCTCCTCCTCCTCCTCCTCCTCCGCAGACGCCGCGGTGCCCGAGCCTCCGCCCCGTCGGAAACAATTCGCCCATGACTGGGCGTGCTGGCAAGAGCGGCCAGCCATGCACCGCGGGTCCAGCGACCTCGCCCGCCCGCGCCAGCCCCGCACGCGCGGCATGATACCTTCTTCTTTTCTCTCTCAGACATTGGTCTATCTTTTGTGCTTCGATTGGGCAGTGGAGATTCAGATGTATCGGAGGCTTCGCATCATCCAGTACAACCCCCAGGCCGTAGGCGTCTCCCGCTCCTTAGACGAGATTGTCAACGAGTTAGGTTCGGCGGACATCATCGGGCTCACGGGTACCAAACAGCAAAAACGATGGGCCAGTTTCCAGGGAGAGCAAGATGTAGTTCAGAAACAGGCTGGGGACTTTCGAGTTTGGCAGTGGCCCACAGTTGGTCACAAAATGGCACAGAAGACAGGAACGAACAGCCACGCGGGGTGTATGCTCTTGGTTCGGGAAAATCGGTTTCCACTTCATCAGAGACGACAGGTCTGGGTCCCGCCAAAAGCTATTCAAGGCCGTGGAGGTGCTGTGCGGTATCGTACTAACACATTAGACATATGCATCATCGTGTACTATGCCCCCACGGAGCCCAAGACAGCACTCGAGCGTCACTGGAGCCAGATGGGGAACGAGTGGATTGGCAAAGTGTTGAGTGCCCTGCCCCAGCGTTGTGTTCCTGTTATCCTAATGGATGGAAATTTTCACACGGGGTTTCTGAAAGATGACCAAGGCTGGGTGCTCCCTCCTCGTGGTGATGCTGTAGGCTGGTGCTGTCCTGAGAAAGAGACCCCCCAGGGCAGTTGGATGCGACGTCTACTTAATCAGCATAAGATGGCACTCGTGAACACACACAAGATATGCATGGGCACATACTTTTCACAGCAAGGCAACTGCACGCGTATCGACTATTGTGCTATTCCTGCATCAGCTTTACACCGAGTTCAGAAATGTGAATGTTGGCAGTATTCGGGGTGCAGATTACAGCTTGCCCAGGGTGTGACACGTAACATAGATCACATCCCACTTGTAGTCGATGTGGTTCTCAACAACCCTGCAGAGTCGGAGACGGTCTCAGCGACACCACGAGCCAGATGGAACACGGACTTGTTGATTCGGGCGTGGATGCGGGATGTTCCTGAGTATCATCGATTCTCTCAGATCTTACAAGATTGGTCTAATTCTGATATGGGTGGTAAGCGTATGCAATCTCTTGTCCAGATAGGCAAAATCGAAGATGCCTGGCACATGTACAACCAGGCCCTGATCGACGCGGGCCAGCAGGTTTTCGGAAGCATGGACCCTTGGAGGAGATGGCCTGACCAGGAGGACTCCAGAGCAGCACGAGCACGAGTGAATGCACTCCGAGCACAGCGTCGGCTTAATCATAACACAGAAGCAACACAAGCGCAGCTTGACGAACAACTCCAAGCTGCACGTCGTGAACTACACAGCCTCAAACGTCGTGATCGTCGAACACATCAGGCCTAGTGGGCCCATGAGCTCACAGCTGCACAGCACGCCCAGGACTGGCACATGGTATGGAAACTGGCACGGAGGATCGCGGGGACGGGAGTTGGGCCAAAAAAGCGACGCTTCCAGGCGCTCACCAAGGACCCCCCCGCACTCCAGGACTGGGTAGAGTATATGGGAGGTGAAGGCCGACAAGGGGGGATGCAAACATACGTTGTTGCACAAGGGGGTGAACAGGATAGGGACCAAGTAGCAGTCTCGGATCGACTTCGGCAGCACGTTGCACGACACCAAGCCGGGCAGCTCTCTCGTTTTTCGGACGTACCTATAGAGATCCAGCACCGCCAGCAGTGGGACAGACACAGATATACACAGGCTAATCACGCCGAACAAGATTATCGCGACCTCAAAGTCAGACTTGCTCGTGCTAAACGGCGACGGGCAGTTCCAGAGTGGGCGGCACCCTCAGAAGTGTGGAGATTGGCATTACTTTTTCCGAAGTGGGCTGAGGATCAGGAGCTTGATATGGCTGGAGCCACTGAGTATAGGCGCATTACCATGCATTTTTTTGACTGGTGTACGAGTCTTTCAGCGTACACCTCAGCTGTGGCATCTTAGCAGCGGGGTGAGAATTGGCAAACATAACGGTAAGGCCAAGTGTGCAGGTGAACGAGTTATTCATTTGTTGTGTCCATTCGGTAAAGCCTACATCGCTGGCCTGTGGTACCGCAGGGACGCGGCACGACCACCACAATCCGTGGGTTTTGCTGAACATCGACGGCGTGAACAGGCACTTCTACAAGTACGCATTCTTCAGGACTGGTGTAGGCGAGCTCAGCTTTCTTGGTTCAATGTTTACTATGATCAAGCAAACGCGTTTGCATCGGTTAGCCATGCTGAATTGGATAACACCGTTACTCAGATGCTTATACAGGATGATGCAGAGCTGGTTTGTCAACGGCATCGGGGTGCGCGGTGCCACTTGACTTTTGAGAATGGTGACTGGGTAATTCTTGAGGCGCAATGTGGAGATCTTCAGGGTGATCAGGCAGCACCAGATAAGTTCACATATGTCTATGATAAACGGATCCTTGATTGGACCAAACTACGGCGGCGGGAGTGTGATCAGAATACCTTTCTTGTACGGGAGCCACATACAGGCATTGAAGTGGACCTCTCGTGGGCGACGTACGCGGACGATATGGGGCGGATGGCAGTCATTCCAGAAGTGAAAGGATCTGCTGCTGTTGCCTCGTCGCTGGTTGCACAGTGGGATACAGACCTCACTGACATGCTCTCCGTACCCACGGGACTATGGCAAAATGCAGGAAAAAAGGAGATCATGTTTCGCACGTATGGCCGAGGAGCGAGGGAGGAGATGGATAAGTTTTATGGGAAGCAGGACGGATGGTACGAGGGCACACCCAAACACACTGTCAAGCACTTAGGCGGTTATCACCATGTTGATGGATGGCTGGGTCCTGATTTTGAAGCCCGAAAAGCTGCAGCACGTCTCGGGTGGTCAGTCTTCGGAGATTTTTGGGCCAAGGGAGGAGTGGAACTGAGAGTGCGTCGAATGATGTTTATGGGCATGGTTTATAACGCGTTTCTCTCGGGGCAAGAGGCGCAGATTTGGTCCCAGGCAGTCGCGGATCAGGCCGACCAATTCATCATGAAACATTATCGGGTACTTCTTCGGGGTGACGCATGCCACAAACAGTGCAACGACGACGGGGAGATTATAAAACACACGGCCGTAACAAATAACAACATACGCCTACAAGCTCGACTTCCTCTGATGGCGAGCGCTCTACGATTTAGACGTCTTCGGTGGTTGGCTGAAATGGGCAAGCACCCAGAGGAGAACCTTGCGGTCCTGGCTGCGCTGACAGGAAAGATAGGCGGGAAGGCCCAGTTGAGTCGACGCGGACGGCCCACTCACTCAGCGAACCCATATTTGAAGCAGTTTAGTGAAGATCTTAACGAGCTGTCTCGGTACTCTGAGCCGGCTAAAAATATCTTGCGTGAGAAGGGGTGGTTCGCTTTGTTTGATCCTGAGGCGGTGCGAGCTCGACACTTTCGACCCCCTAAATCTATGCTTCACTACTCTTGGGCGGCAGATGGAGGAGGAGGAGGTGGAGGAACACGTGCACTACCTTGTTCGACTCCTGGCCTGTTTGCTTGTACACAGATGGGCTCCACGGGTATCCCTTGCGCAGAATCTTTCCAGACCTCCAGGGCCCTTCGGGTTCATCAGACCAGAGTACACGGACGGACTGATCGACTTCGACTAGCTATGATATCTAATCAATGTATATGGTGTGATCGTATTTTTGCTACGCGTGAATGGGGATATAGTCATATTGAGCAGTGGTTTAATACTGGCGCATGTCCTAAGAGTCGTGGGGGAGCCGCCGCGGGTAATCGACCTCTCGAAGAACCTAGTAGCTTAGTTTGCCCACTTTGTGATCATCTCGCTCTCGACGTACCCGAACTGAAAGCCCATGTACGTAGTCATTTTGATCTTAGCAGTGCTCTTTGGTTGCCGAGGGTCTTTTTCACCGACGTACCACCAGCTTCGTCTCCCGATGGAGGGCGCGATGACAGTGGCGGGAGCTCCACACCCGCAGAGGAGGGCAGTGACGGGAACCGGGCTAGACCAGCAGACCGAGCGGCTGATGAAGTCGACGGCGAAGGCAGTTGTGGGCATCGACAACATCGTGAGGCGCCACCAGGGCGCGTTGGCGTCATGCCTGCTCTTACCAGAGGAGAACGCAGCGCTGCAGTCGCTCTTAGAGAAGGGCCACACGATTCACGAAAAAAAGGAGGCGCTGAGGGCCGCCAAGCAGCACGCCCAGCTAAAGAAGGAGATCCACAGTTGGGTTCAGTTGTGGTGCCAGATGTGCATGACGATCGCGAAAGATGGCAAGGTTCCCGAGAAGGCGAAGACACTGATACTCAAACATGTCGGCGAGGTGAAGGACCTGACAGTACTGTACCCTCACGTGCACGTATGTTTTACGAAGAAATGCTATCGACAGAAGGAGTGGAAAAAGGATTGGTATCGCTTGGAGTTGATGGTCTCGCCGATGCTCCAGCCGATGCTAGACGAAATCCTGGCGATCATTTCGAAGATGCCCGAGGTGGAGCGGAAGGTGGGTGGGCCCGCGCGGGGCCCACATGCTCGCGCGATCGTAGATTGCCTGGTGGAGATGGGGGAGTTCCAGAGGAGCGAATGAATCCGACTGAGGGACGGAGTGAGAGCAGCAGCAGTAGAGAAGCTAATGCAGAGAGTCTCCAGAGCCTAGGAGCCCAGGAGTCGGGTTTAGGGTTTGATTTCTCCTTCCCTTCCTCCTCTTCCTTCCCTGGGGATCCCTCGTCCTGGTCCGACTCCCAAAACCTCCAGTGGCTTTTGAGGTTTTTTGGGTGCCCTGATGAGCCGAGCACTGTAGGCAGTGTGATGCACGAATCAGGTTCAATATCGTGAGCTAGTATGGCTATGTCTTTTCCTCTTTGTGGGGCTGGGGCCCCGCTAGTCAGTAATTACGCGAGGTGCGTTCGACCCACGCCTCCTCGGGGTCCTCTGATGCCCCAATAGGAGGCTCGGTCCTATGCGCCAGTGCTCTCATGAGTGTGTGCTGGATCGGCGGTCTGTTGATCGCCCTCCCTGGCCCACAAGCGGCATACGGCCGCAGACAGCGCGAGCTAGGGGTCGAGATGCGTGACGAGCTGCTTGACAACGCTGATGACCCACAGGCTCCCCAGGCTGGTCCCACCACCACCACCTCCTCCTCCGCTTCCTCCTCCTCCTCCTCCTCCTCCTCCACCTTCTCCTCCTCCTCCCTCCTCCTTCCTCCTCCTCCTCCTTTCCTCCTCCTCCTTTTCTCCTCCCTCCTCTTCCTCCTCCTCCCTCCTCGGAGGGCGTACACAGAATCATGCCGCCGGAGATCTTTAGGACTCCTCCTGGGCCCTCTTCCCCAGACCCCCTACGCCATGGCTTTTTCACCACGCCGTCCCCAGGGGTCTGGACCCCTTCCCTGGGACCGGTCTCTCCTCGCGAGCCGCTTCTCGACGGCCCCAGCGAGGGCTCCCGGAGGCCGAAGATAGTGAAAAGCCTCCCACCGGGATTCTTTCTCACCGCGCGAGTGGGACTGGGTCTTCGGAGCGCGTTCCACCACTCGCAGAGGGCCTTGTCGCAGTCGTCCGAAAAGCACACGTCTGCATCGATGCGATGTGTGTCGTCCATCTCGACGGCTCCAGGCAGCTTGCGAGCAGTCATGTTGCGGGTCGTGGATCGCGCTCGTCCATCTTCGGCGCACCCGAGCCCAGAGATCCGATGTCGTGATTCTTTCAATACGGGGTCCCCGGAAATCTTGACCCATTCTCCGGGATCAGTTTTGCAGCCTGAGTCGTTTTTTCGAAGGTCCTGGGACCCAGCGAGGGCCCCTGGAGGCGAAAACTGCGAAAAACCTCCGTCTTGATTTTTTCAATACGCTGGATCTCTGGGAGGAACTCACACCGCCCGCGCGTCCTCCCGGTGCAGCCATGCTCTCCCGGGCGCTCGGCTCGCTCGCCGCCCGCGGCCCGGCGCTGGGCCGCGCCGCCGCGCGGCCGGCCCTTGCGGGCGCGGCCCGCACGGTCACGACCTCGAAGGTCGGCGGCTACGAGGCGCCCCGGGGGGCGCCGCCCCACAGCTTTAATCGAAGAAGGAAAAACCACATAAGCACAAACTTGTTGGCGCTGCGCGCGGATTTCTTGGATCCTCGCTGGGCCCCCCTGGCGCGCTCCGCGCGCCAGGGAGGGGGGTCCAGTGCAGCTCCACGAAATCCGCGCGCAGCGCCAACAGCTTATTTTTATGTGTTTTATTCTTCTGTTTACGTCGGGCGCGTCCCTCTACAGGAGGAATGCCCAGAAATAGTAAAAGAATAGTCCTGGGCCATTTTTCTATTTTATCTTTGAGTATTCTTTTGGTGCTTCTCGAGCATGCTTTATTTTTCGTCCTAAGTCCGCTCGCAGGAGGACATGCCCGACCTAACCATAGTTTTCGCAGTCAACGCGCGCCTGCCTCCCTCCTGAGCTAGGCCTCTTAGATGGGGTTGGAGGATCGCGCCGCATCGCCGATGGATCGCCGATGCGCCGCGATGCGGGGCCCGATTTTCTTCGCGCCGACGGCGCCGATGCGTCGCCAGTGTCGCCGATGCATCGCCGATGTATTGGCAATGTATCGCCAATGCGGCTATGAGGCGCCCCAGGCCCCTCCCTAGATGCTCGTTTTTGGGGCCTTCCTGGGGCCCACCTAACGGATCTGTTTGTTTCTGGTTCGACCCCAGTTTGAGTCAGGTTCGACTCAGGTTCACATCAGCTTTGTCTCAGGTTCTACTCAGGTTCGACTCAGGTTCGACTCAGGTTCGACTCAAGGTCGGCTCAAATCGACGGACGTTCGACGCAGCTTCGACGCACGAGTGGAGCGAGTGTCTCCAGGGAGGTCCCCTCGATGATGCCGCCGCCTGCTGTTTATGCTCACTACTACCTTGACTTCGAGAAGTTCATGGCGTTCCGAAGCTACGGTGTCCTCCTCCTTCGCGAGGTGGACACGCCTGCTCTCCTGGCCACCAATGAGGACCTGTTATACCAGATATTTCCTGTGAATCTATGGCTGTTTAACCCGTCATGGTCTCATCAGCGCGATGGCTTCCAGCTCTGCAGTTTTGGCTTCATGGGCGATATTGTGCGGCAGTTCCGCCACCCCAGTTGGAGCGGTTGGTGCGCGGCGGGCCTTAGCCTTCTTTCGCTAGTTTCGTTCATTGCGAAGCTGTTATCACTTGTTTGACCGAGTCCCTGCGCTTTCTCCGAGCAGAGAATGGTCAACCCCCAAAAAATCCAAAGGACTCCTAAATATTCCTATGGATTGCAAAAACGATCCCTAGGGATCCCAAAGGATTCCTAGGGATTACAAAACGGACTCCTAAGGATTCCCACGGATTCCTAAGGATTCCTTCGGATTCCTGAGTGGTTCCTAGGACTCCCTAAGGATTCCTGAGGATTCCTCCGGATTTCTAGGGATTCCGATGTATTTCTATATATTCCGAAGACTTCCTGTGGATTACGAAGGGTTTCTCAGGATTCCCACGGATTTCAAAGGATTCCTAGAGATTCCAAAGGATTCCTATGGATCCTTCTGGACTCCTGAGGAGTTCTCGGGATTTCTTCGGTTGTCTAAGGATTTTCTAAAGATTCGGAGGATTCGTGATGATTCCTGAGGATTTTCAGGAATTCCTCAGGGTTCTGAGGATTCCTAAGGATTCCCGAGGACTCCTCAGGATTCCAAAGGATTCCTCAGGAGTTCTAAGGTTTCCTAGAGGGATTCCGAAGGATTCCTAATCATACCGAAGGATACGCGTTTCCTTCTTCTAGGGGCAGTCCGTAGCGATTATTCTTCCAATCCCACCTTCGCCCCTACCCCACCGTCGTGTCCCCCCGAGAGCAGTCCGAGCAGTCTTGCCCCTTTCATGCTCCTTCGAGAGTGGTTTGTGCTCCCTAGGCCATAACACTCGTTAGGCCCCCCCCCTTCCCCCGACCTCCATGACGTCCCCAGCATTGCCGCAGTGCATCCGACACCACGAACTGCACTGCCGGACCCACACAGCTGGGGGGGGTTACGTTCTGCACCCATCCGCCCCCCGCCTCCCCCCCATAGTGCCCGCTACCGCTGCGAGTTAACTGGGGACTGGGCGTCGCCCCCCAGCGGCCGAAAACGTGCAACGTCCGCCGCGGTGTTTAGTGTTTGTTGCTATTTTTCCCGCTGCACGCCGCATGGACCAGGACGCGCATCCGTTTGCGGTCCTGTCGACGCGGCGACTCCGCCGTGGGCGTTCCAGGTCGAACGCCGCCGCTGGCCCAGAGTCGTCCGACATGGTCGGATCTGGCGGTCGAAGAACCGCCGACCGTTCAAGGTGGACAGGTCCACGCAGTGTGAGAACCCGACGCCGAAGCCGTCACGACACGAACCCGCCACAGCCTGCCGCAGCTGCCGCCCCTCCGCCCAGAGGTGTTCGACCACAGCTACGACGCGGTCGTCATCGGGGCGGGCGGCGCGGGCCTGCGCGCGGCCGCCGGCCTCGTGGGCCACGGCCTGAAGACCGCGTGCATCACCAAGGTCTTCCCCACGCGCTCGCACACGGTGGCGGCCCAGGCTCGTTGGGGAGCGACAGAGCGGCACGGTCGGAGTGGACACGTGAAGCATGGGGACGGAGACTGGTGGCTGTCCTTGTCCAACCTAAACATGGCTCGCTGTCGGTTTTCAACAACGCTTGCTGTGAGGCGTACCCGTTTTCCGCACCCATGCTGGGCGCGCAGAGACAATACCCGAAGAAGAATCACAAGCACGAGTGTAAGCTTTGGGAGGTCTGCGCCGATTTCTTACCTCGGCGCCGGGCCCTTCTAGAAGGCGTCTCCGTCGTCGCCCCTGGCGCGCTCCGAGGATGGGTGTCTGGCGCCGATCTCATACATCCGCTCAGACTTGACCCGTGACATCCTCGCGTCGTGAAACAAGTCAAGGCGGAACGTTATTTTGACCGTTTGCGGCGCCCAGGAGCCCTTGCTGGTCCCTGAGGCCGTTGAAAAGCGACTCGGGATGACGAGCTGGTCCCCAGGAAGCGCTCGAGACCTCTGGGGAGTCACGTTGTGATCAAAGTCATGACGCTGGACGTCCGGGGAAGGCGCCAAGTATCCACATACACTGGATACCGGCCAGGATCGGTGCGTCCTCCTCGGGCGGGCGTGGGCAAAGCGAGCATGCCTGGTGCATCTTGCAGGGGTGGAGGGAGGGGGTGGCGTTTCCAGTCAGTTGCAGACCTCAGCATCTTCTATTCCACTACGTTTTTACTGTTCCTCCTCCTCTTCCTTCTCCCCCTTCCCCCAACTCGCTCATCCCTCTTCCCTCCGAGTTCGGCTTTGCTCCTTCGATCCTCCCTCCTCCCTCCTTCGCTCATTCCTCCTCCCTCGCTCCTCGCTCCTCCTGGCTCCCACCTCGTCTCCCTTCTCCTTCTCCTTCCCCTCCTCCTCCTCCTCCGCCCCCTTCTCCTCTTCGACTCCTCCTGCTTCTCCTTCCACCCCTCCTCCCTCTCCTCTCCTCCCTTCCCTCTTCCTCCGGCCCTCCTCCCTCCTCCTTCCGCCGCTCATTCCAGAGGGCGGCATCAACGGGGCCCTCGCCAACATGACCGAGGACGACTGGCGCTGGCACGCCTACGATACGGTGAAGGGCTCCGACTGGCTCGGCGACCAGGACGCCATCCAGCACATGTGCCGGCTGGCACCGGAGGCTCCCTCAGTACAACACTCTCCAAGTGAAGAGTACATCAGTGACGATGTCGATGATGATGATGATGATGATGATGATGATGATGATGATGATGATGATGATGATGATGATGATGATGATGATGCTGATGCTGATGCTGATGCTGATGCTGATGATGATGATGATTATGATGATGATGCTGATCATGCTGATGATGATGATGCTGCTGATGCTGTTGAACCTGATGATGATGCTGATGATGATGATGCTGAGGATACTGTTGATGATGATGATGATGATGATGATGATGATGATGATGATGATAATGATAATAATAATAATGAGGATCACGACGATGCTGCTGATGATGATGGATGACGAATATGGTAATGACGATGATGAGGATACTGATGCTGAGGATGAGGATGATGATGCTGATGATGATGCTCATGATGCAGTTGACGATGACGATGATGCTGCTGATGATGATGCTGATTATGACGACGATGATGATGATAATGATGATTCTGATGCGTATGCTGATGATACTGATGATGATGTTGCTGATGATGGGTGACGATAACCTTGATACTGATGCGGATGTTGCTGATGATGATGATGCTGATGATGATGATGATGCTGATGATTATGCTGATGATGCTGCTGCTGATGATGCTGCTGCTGCTGATGATGACGATGATGATGATGCTGATGATGATGATGATGATGATGATGATGATGATGATGATGATGATGATTATTATTATTATAATTATTGCTATTAGTGTAATTATTAGCATGATGTTATTGTTTGTATTATTCTCATTATTATGATTATCCGTAAGGGCTTCGCCCCATGCCGCTGGCCCCCTGTCTCGGATACTGGGAGATGCAACAGCTAAATCATGAGGTCTGGGCGCCGCCGTGGAGCAGTGTCGGGACCTGCGTGTTTTTCGACCCTGCCCGGTTGCTGCAACTGCCCAGCACCACAGCCACCAGGCGCCGCGCCTGCACCTCTATGAGCTCCTCCTTGTTGTGCTCCTTGTATGTCCGCCATCTCATCGTCCACCATCTCCTGAACCCCCCTGGGCGATCTTGCGGTTGATGACATTTTCGTCGATCTGCAAGCCTCTGATGCGCGTTTGTACTTTCATCAGCCTCTCTTCGATACCCTCTAACTTGGCCTGGTACTCTGCCTGCTGTTGTCGGAGCGGCATGGTGGACTGGATCATGCACTTGTGCGTCGCTATATTCCTGCCGTGCGATTCCGCCAGCGCGAACTCCTTGGCCCTTCTTGCGGTGAGAGCCAATGTACCTAGGTCGCTCAGCTGTTGCCTCACGGTCAGGCGGAACTGATGTTGCTCCGCCTGGCGGGGCACGATAGCATTGTTCTGTTGCTTCATCCTCTTTGGTCATGGGAGGCACTCTCTGTATGTACTGCCTGACATCTCTGTCCGTGAAGCGAGCGGGGCTTGGCGGTCGAGCATCCCTTCCTGCTCCCTTGCGGGAGTGACTGCCGTAGCCTCTGCCGAATCCTCTTTCTTGTGCCGATGGAGGCATGCCTGCATGATACCGCTGGCCACAGAAATATTGTGCATGATGCTTTACACATCGCCGACAACTGGTGCAATCCATCCTTTGATCGCCAGATCACTCACAGTCAGATTGTTGTCGCTTGCGTGCTGAACTGAATGGTTCGAGGCGAGTACCAGGTATGCCCTGTGGAGCCTCACGAGAATCCTCGCCTGGGAGCGCTGCTCCCGCGCTCTGCGATGAGCCGCTTTCTCCCCAGCGCGCGCCGTGATCATCAAGCGCCAGGCAGCAGCTATTGTGGGCAAGAGAGCCGCGGCACGTTCTGACGTGCGCGACGGGGTTCGGCCGAGCAAAATCCTTGAGCTCAGGCCAAACCCCCTCCTCTTCCTCCTCCTCCTCCTCCTCCTCCTCCTCCACTTCCTCCCTCCCCGTCCCCCGGGAGGTGATCCTGGAGCTCGAGTCCTTCGGCCTGCCGTTCTCCCGCACCCCGGAGGGCAAGATCTACCAGCGCGCCTTCGGGGGCCAGAGCCTGAAGTTCGGGAAGGGCGGCCAGGCCCCGAGGGGAAGGGGGCTGGGGCGAGAAGGGGGGAGGGGGGAGGGGAGGAGGCAAACTAGGTGCGCTCGCGTCATATCTGACGTCCTCCCCCTCACTCCCATCTCTTACCATGGCGTAGATCTCCCCGCTATTCGCACCGTCGGATGTCGAGAAGGGCAGTGATCGCGAGAGGGTGCGCGATGCATGGTAGAGCACAGCATGGCATGGCGTGGAAGAGGACGGCAGAGCGTAGCATGCCATAGCATTGCGTGGCATCGCGCAATGAAGCATTGCATCACAAAACATTGTAACGCATATCATGGCATCGCACAGCTGCACAGACCACAACACCGCACAGCCTGTCATGGCATGGTGCCAGTTTCCTTGGAGGGTAAGTAATTGTCCTCGAGAGGTCTGGGCCGGTCTGGAGTCGTGGTTCCATGTCTACTCCTTGGGCTCCCCGGAAAGCTCCACACAAGGCGGAGCTGATGGAGAGCACCCGTTGGCTCTGCCTTCAACATCGCCTTCTCAAAGCAAAAACGGGGCTTCCGCTTGATACTTCCCGAAAACGACGACGCCCCAAAGTGGTGGGCTTCTGTGGCCGAGGAAAGCAACGCATCGACACCGAATGTGTAAACACTTCCGATGTTTTTTGGGGGGGCCATCTTCTAGAGTTTGGGGCCTATTTGGAAGGAAGGCTAGCGCTGCAGCGGGAGCAGGACTCGGAACGAGAGGAAGCGCGGAAATGAGGCCAGCGCTGCAGCGGGAGCACGATTCGGGACGAGCGGAAGCCCGAAAATGAGGCCAGCGCTTCAGCAGGAACATCATTGTGAACACAAGAACCCGAGCGAAAACCCATGTCGCGGGAATCTTGTGTGTCAGAGGAGAGAGGAGATTGTGTAATTGTGTGGGGTCGGGGAGTGCGGCGGGGGGCGGCGAGGGGTGGGGAGGGGGGAGGATGGAGGAGGGGGCAGGGGGGAGGGGACCGCGAGGAGTGGGGAGGGGAGGAGGGGAGGAGGGAGGATCGGATCGACTCGACAGGAGTCTAGGCCTGCCAGATGGGGTCGATATAGATGGGGTCGGATTATCGCGCGGCATCGCCGAGGTATCGGCGATGCATCGGCGATGCGGCTCGATGTGGATCCCGATTTTCTCCACGCCGACGTCGCCGATGCATCGCCGACGTCGCCGATGCATCGCCAAGGCATCGATCCCATCTACTCGGACCCCATCTAGGAGGCCTCTAAGGAGGAGACGTCTTACTCCCCAGCGCTGTCTGCCCCCCCCCGCCCTGCCGGGGGGGCTCGACAAGTGTGGAGCAGAGAGCTCAGACGCAGTATTGGCAGTACAGGTGTCCCGCCCTGTCTGGCGGCTAAACAACCAGGGCGGCCCCAACCGTCCACCCAAGGGAGAGGAGGGGGGGAGGAGGGGGTGGGGTTGGTACGGGCCGCAGACTGCCCAAACATTTTCTGTAGTGACTTCTGTCACGGCTCGAAGATGTCAGGGAAAACGGGCCCAATCCGAGGGAAGGACTGGCCGTCTCGATTTTTCAGCGTCGCCTAACCTATGCCCGTCCCTATCCGGCCATGGAATCTCACCCCCCCAGTGGGGATAGGTCTCGCGAAGCCCGAAGCAAACGCAAAATATTGCCACCCGGGGGGGCAAGTCGGCCAGTGGTCAGGAGGGAATAACGCATAGACGCAACTAAAAGTCGGCTCCCAGGGAAAATGTGGGAGCATGTGGAAAGTTGAGGGGGGGAAGACGGAACTCCAGAGAGTACGGGAAGCTGGGGGGGGATCCAGGGAGTTGTGCCTATTTATATTTGTGTGTGCCCTTGGGCCCCTTTTTCAGTGGGGCCAAGGCCACGCCAGGGGGGCCGGGTACCCTTCTCCTCCTCCTCTTCCTCCTGTTTCCTGTTTCCTAACGGCTTCAGCGCCTTCAGACGCAGCCGCTTCTCCTCCTCTTCCCGCGGAGCGTCGGGGGGCAGAGGCCTACCGCTGCGCGGCGGCGGCGGACCGCACGGGCCACGCGATCCTGCACACGCTCTACGGCATGGCGCTGAAGTTCGACTGCCTCTTCTTCGTGGAGTACTTCGCCCTGGACCTGATCATGAGCGAGGACCTTCGCCGCCGCCGCCCGCCCCTCCCCTGCCTCCCGCACGCCTCGCCGGGCGCGGGCGCGACCGAGGTGCCAGATCGAGATCGAGCCGGGGAGGGTGCCCTGATGTTCTCCGTGCTTGTTGGATGTTCTTGTGCATCCAGGGGGAGGGTACACTTGAGTGATCTTGAGGCTTGGGGTTTGGGGTGCTTTGGCCGGCGGAGGGTCTGCTGTTCTTGAAGGACATTATTCTGTCCTAGGCCCGACTGCACGGGCGTAACATGCCGCGCCCAGTGCCACAAGAGGCGTGCCTCGGGGCGGCTCTTTTTCTGCCTGCCTCCATAGGCCGATTTTCAACCGTTAGGTGGCCAGGGTCGGGTCAGTGTGTGAGGGTTTGTGTGTTCGGTATCGGTTGTTGGGCTTAGATATTGGATTAGTGAGTAGTGAGTAGTTAGTGAGTAGTGAGTAGTGAGTAGCGAGTAGCTAGTAGTACAGGGGGTAATGAGTTGCACGTAGTGAGTAGTGCGTTGGGAGTAGCGAGTAGCGACTAATGATTAGTGAATGGTGATTCGTGAGTAGTGAATAGTGAGTAGCGACTAGATCTGTAGTGAGTAGTGAGTAGTGAGCAGGGAGTAGAAAGTATGGAGTAGCGAACAAGGAGTAGTGAGTATAACGTAGGGAATAGCGAGTAGCGAGCAGTAAGTGGCCAATAGTTGGTAGTGAGTATTGCGTAGTGAGTAGTGAGTATCGAGCAGCGAGTGTTGAGTAGTTGGTAGTGATTAGTGGGTAGTGAATAGAGAGTATTGAGTGGTAAGGAGTGGATAGTGAGTAGTAAGGAGTGAGTCGTGCGTAGTGGGTAGTGGGTAGCGGGTATGTCGTAGTCAGTAGTGAGTAGTGAGTAATGAGTAGGGGGTAGTGGTTGACGAGAAGGGAGTAGAGGATATAACTAGTGAGCAGCAACTAGTGAGTAATGAGTAGGGCGTTGTTTGTAGTTTGTAATGAATAATGTTGAGTTTGTGATGAGTAGTGAGTAGTTTGTGTTGATAAATGATTAGGAAGTAGTTGATAGTGCCTAATGTGTATTGAATAATGAGTAGTAAGTAGGCAGTAGCACGTAACAGGTAGGGGGTACTGAATAACGAGTATTGGGTCGTGCGTATTGAGAATTCGCGAATCGTTCGTAATGTCCAGGGAGTATTGGATAATGAGTAGTTCGTAACCAGTACTGCGTAGCGAGTAGTGAGTACTGAGAAGTGACAATTGTTTAGTGCGCAGTGAGTGGTGAGTCGTGAGTAGTAAGTCGTCTGTACTGAGTAGCGAATAGTGAGTAGTGAGTAGTGCGTACTGTGTGCGGAGTGAGGAGTTGGGAATAGGGAGTAGTGACTAGAGTAGTGAGCAGTGAGTAGTGGGTAGTGGTTATCGAGTACTGAACAATGAGTAGTTCGTAGTGAGTAGGGAGTATGGAGAAGGGAGTAGGGAGTATGGAGAAGTATGTCGTGAGGAGTTGGAACTGTGTAATGAGTAGCGAGTCCAGGGCAATGAGTTGCGAGTAGTGAGTAGTGGGTAGTTTGTAGCGAGCAGTGAGTGGTGAGTAGTAGGGAGTAGTGAGTACTGAGCAGGGAATACCGAGTAGTGAATGATGAGTAGTGAGTGGTGAGTAGGCCGGAGTGAGTAGTGAGAAGTGAGACGTGGGTATTGAGTAGTGGGTGGTGAATAGTCTTAGTATAGTGAGTAGCGAGAAAAGATCTAGTGATAAATGAATAGTGAGTAGTGGGTAGTGGGTCGTAAGTAGTGGTTAGTGAGTAGAGTGGGTCAGAATAGTGAGTTGTGAGTACTGAGTAGTGATCAGTGGGCAGTGTGTAGTGAGTAGTAGGTACTGAATAGAGAGCCGTGAGTAGTAGTGCGTCGTGAGTAGTCAGTAACGAGTAATGGGTAGTGTGTATTGAGTATTGACTAATGAGTAGAGAGTAGTGAGTTGTGAGTAGTGACTTGTGAGTAGTGGGTAGTGACTTGCGAGGAGTGCGAAGTTATTTCCGAGGTTGTGAGTAGAGAGTAGTGAGTAGTGAGTAGTACGTAGGGGTAGGGAGTATTGAGTGGTGAAATGTGAGTCGTGAGTAGAGAGTAGTGAGTAGTGAACAGTGAGTAACGGTAGGGAGTAGTGAGTAGTGAATATTGAGCAGTCCGTAGTGGGTAGTGTGGATTGATTAGTGAGTACCGAACAGTGAGTGGTGAGTAGTTGGTAGTTAGCAGTGGGTATAGAGTAGTGAGTATTGAGTCGTGATCGGATTGGGATACGGTTTAAGAGTGCGGAGAGATTTGAGGATTAGGAATGGGGGTGGTAGGTGTGTTCTGGTGGAGCCAGTGGGCGGCGTGGCGAAAGTGGAGGAGGGGGGGTCCGAATTATGAGTCCAAAGGGAGGGGCGGGGGGGGTCCAGTTCCCCCCCCCTTTTCAAAGAAAGGGGGTGGGGTTCGTCGACGACGGACCAGGAACGGGGTGGGGTTCCGGACGGCGGACCGGGAAAAGGGGGGGGGGGCCCGACGACGGACCGGGGAAAGGGGGGGGTGTCCGACTCCCCCCGTCTTTCGGGGCATCCAGCGGCGCGCCCTCGGAAAATTGGCCCATCATGCCTCGCAGGTCCTGGGGCATCCTCAGCTGGGCACGCGTGGTTCGGCACCCTTCTGCTGCGCCCTTTTTTGTTTGTACCGCCGCGGAGAGCACGTGGACATCTGCAGCCCTTGTGGAGGCCCTGGCTCTGTGCGGATACATTGGAAGCCCATGCCAAGAAACTCTCTGATTACCTCCAGGGTGCCCTGGATTTCTTGGGGTTCGATGGCTTGGCGATGGAATGCGTGACGTTCCCATACCACAAAACAATGGACGTCCTGGGGTCTCAGGGTTGGGTTTCATGTGGGAGGTTTCTTTTGGTCGAGCACCCAACCCAATGTATCGGCGGGTGACCGCATCTGCCTCTCAACGGCACGTTTTTTTGGGAGGGTTTCTCCGAAGACGCGCCATGTGGGGGCGATCTATTGGGGGGGGCAGCGAAGGCTGCCGAAAAGGAGCCCGTGAGGGCCCCTGAGGCTGCCCCTTCAGGGCCTCAAGGGGGGCCTGCAGGGGCCCGAACGGGTTCCTTTTATCCCCCGCCTCCCCAATTCGGTCGAGCCCGAGGATGACCGCACCCACCTCTCCGGGGCAACGCTTTGGGAAGCTTCGAGACGAAGATTCGTCGGACGTGGCCAGGACGAGGATAAATCCGCCCAGACCGTTCCAGAACGCTCTCGGAGCATTCTGGAACGCTCTGAGAAGACCGCGGCGCTAGAGACCTCCTCCAGAGCTGCCAGATCTCAGAGATTCTCGATTTATCCCCACCCGATTTTATCCTCGTCCTAGCTTCGTCTTATTTCGGGTTCCAGGTTCGAGATAAAGATTCGAGTTCGAGGTGTGGAACACATGGGCACAATACCCAGGAACAGATGTTGTCCAAAACCAATTGCGGCCGCCATTTGCAGGCGGCCTTCTGTCTCCCAAAAGCCACGTCCGCGGCCGACATCAACAGCGAGTCCTGTTCAGAATGAGCAGAAGTAATGCTGTCGGTCTTTGTGCCCATTCTTTCCGTACCCAATTCGGTCGTCCCGAGGGACGAATCGGCGTCACACCGACATACTCATATTATATGTGCGACGCGCGCACCGAGAAGTCTGATAGTATTCGCTCCGTGGCGGGCGCTTTCTGGCCATGCCGCTCTGGAAACGATCTGCTACAAGGGGGTTCTACTATATGCTCGGGTCGGACGCGCGCCTCCGAGGCGGGCATGTAGTACTAGTACGTCTTTGTGCATCCCAGCGAAATTTCGGGTTCCAGGTTCGAGATGAAGCTTTGGGCTCGAGGTTCGAGGTTCCAGGTTCGAGATGAAGTTTCGGGTTCCAGTTTCGAGGTTCCAGGTTCGAGCTCGCGGGTGTTCTCGCCGGCTCTCTCGGAGTCTCCCGGGGACTCCGGGGCGGCGTCCAGCAGCTGCCCCTTCTCACCGAGAGCGTGCCGAGGGTGCCTTGTGTCGTCCGGGGCAGCCGCCGGAGAGCCGAGTTATGACCCGCCTCGAGGCTCCAGCGACGGGAGGTTTCTCGCTATTTTCGGCGTCCGGGGGCCCTCGTCGGGCCTCGGGACCGTCAACAAAGTGACTCAGGATGCAGAACCAGTCTCAGGGAAGGGGTCCAGACCTGTGGAGTTCGACGTTGTGAGAACATCACGACGTCGGGGGGTTGGAGGCAGGGGGCACAGCAAACGGGGGTCAGCCAGAGCGCCGGATCTTGCAGGATCCTGCAGGGCCAGGGCCGCGTTGGCCCACGTTTGGGTTCAGGATTTTGCAGGATGTTGTAGGATTTTGCAGATCCTTGGAAAGTCTGACTGACCCAGGTCTGGATTGACCATGGTCGGAAGATCCCTGACCGAAAACAGGTGGCAGCGTGAAGGGAGGGTAGGCTCAGGGGAGGATGCATCGACCCCCAATTCCCTGATTTACATCGGCGATAGAGGCCCGATAGCCTACTCCGCCCAGGAGCATGCGGATTCGCTATCGGGGTCCTACCGCTCATCTATCGCCAGCGCATCGCCGATCCCAGCTCGATGTTTACCCCCCTGAGCCCCCCCCCCAGGTCCGTAGGGATCGGTGGACAACCACATGCGACATTCGGTGGTGACCACACCGTGTGGTGTGTCAGTGGGGATCCTGGGGCGACGGCACGGTCTCGGGAATTGGGCCGTTCTGCGAGGACGATTTGGGACTCTGGACGTCTCCGAGGGACTCGGGCAACTGGGGGCTCCAAGATCCCCTAAGCTGTGCGGCGATGGACCGTGCGGAGAGGTTTCTTGGGATTACGGTCTGCCACTGCGCCGTTTCGGGAGCCCCAACACATCCATCCATCCGCGGAGCCCCAGGGCACGACTCCGAAGCAGACGGTATGGGCCCATCCTGGCGCTGGAGGTGCCTCTCGACCCCGTACCAAGGAACGGTTCTGCACATTGTTCCCCCAACCATCTTGTGTTGTTGGGTCCTCGTTTTGGAGAGGCAGCGCCGCGCTCCACTCCCTCCCGCTGCTCTTTTTCCCTTCACGCAGAGGCTGCGTCCACACAGCGTCCCCCCGCCCGTCCCCTCACACGTTTCGAGGCCCCATAGGGAGCTCCAGCCAGGGCCCAAATGGCAGAGTCCGCGTGGCGTCGCCGCCTTCTTTTGTGCACCCCTCACACGTTTCGCGGCCGATGCCCCATAGGGCGTTCCCGCTATAGCCGAAATACCAGAGTCCGCATGGACCTGCCACCTCATTTCGGCACACCCCTCAGACGTCTCCTTACCCCATACAAAAGAGAGAGAGAGAGAGAGAGAGAGCTCCAACTAAGGCCCCAAGGCAAGGGTCCGCATGGCCCCGCTGCCTCATGTCCGCACGCCCCTCAGACGTTTCGTGGCCTCATAGGACGCTCCAACGAAAGTGGTACCCGCAATGCGGTACCCACAACTGCATATGGTTGGGTCCTTCACACCAGGCTATTCTTTTGATCCCGAGGGGAAATCGCAAGGATTGAACATTCAATCCAGGGTGAGTTTGGGTCCACGAATCCTCCGAAAGTCTTTGGAAGTTCCAGGAGGGTTCAAATAATAAGAACAGCGTCAAGCACGTCGATCCTCGGTTCTCGTCGTTGCAATCGATCCTAGCCGTCGCCGTCGCCGTTGACATGTCCACCGCGGTCGTCGTTGCTGTCGTCGTCGTGGTGGTGGTCGTCGTCGCTGTCGTCGTCGTCGTCGTGGACGTCGTGCTCCGTCCACGATCTTCGATGCTCGCCGCAAGCCCCTCTCTGATTCCGCCCGCCTTTCCGAATGCCCGATCGTTGATCGCCGTGCTGGACGAGGGTCGACTTCCAGGGATCAGCAGGGGCGAACAAAGTGGAACACCTGGATCCTCGGTCGTCGCCATCGTCGACGTTGTCGTCGTCGTTGTCATCGTCGTCGTCGTCGGCGTGAACGTTCTCGTCGTGGTGTGGTTGTGGTGGTCGTCGTCGTTCTCGGGTCTCCGTCGTCGTCGTCGTCGTGGTGGACCGCGTCGTCGATGTCGCAGTCGACCACGTCGATCTCGTCCTCGATCCTCTATCCCCGCCGTTGTGGGCGAACCTCGATCCTCGATCCTCGTCGTCGTGGTGGGCGAGGGCGGACCTCGGGTCATCGGCCCGCTGAGGACGGCAAGACGTGCCTCGGGTGCACCGCGGTCTGCATGGAGGACCTGGGGGGGACCGCTAACCGAGCGCTGCCGGCGATCCCGTCGTCGTCGACGCCGCCGTCGCCGCCGCTGCCGCCGCCGCCGCCGCCGCCGTCTTCGTCGTCGTCGTCGTACACGAAAGCTTGTCAGGCCCATCGCGGGCCGATCCCACATACCACGATTTGCGTGCACAACTTTCTGACTGTTGCCGGGAGGGTCTGCGAGTGCCAGCCCATCGCTTGGTGTGCGCCTGGCCAGTTCTCGCGTCCTTCTGCTCTGCAGGAAGACAGAGGAGGGTCGAGGATGGAGAATTCAAGGTTTTAAGTGTTGTTTGTCTGTATTTTGGTCTTATCCTCGCGAGGCCTTTGCAGTTTGCAGAGACCTCCAGGGCATCCGTTGCCTCTCTTCCTTTCTGTCCCCACCTCCCCCTCTTCCTTCTCCTGCTCTTCGTCGTCCGCCTGCCGCGCCTGCCTCTCGTTCTCGTGCTCCTTCTCGGCCCCCTCCTTCTTCGCCCTTTGCCCTCCTCGTTCTCCCTGTCTCCCTTGCTCTCCTCCTCCTCCTCCTCCTTCTCCTCCCCCCCCTCCTCCTCCTCCTCCTCCTCCTCCTCCTCCTCCTCCTCCTCCTCCTCCTCCTCCTCCTCCTCCTCCTCCTCCTCCTCCTCCTCCTCCTCCTCCTCCTCCTCCTCCTCCTCTCTCCTCTCTCCTCTCTCCTCTCTCCTCCTCCTCCTCCTCCTCCTCCTCCTCCTCCTCCTCCTCCTCCTCCTCCTCCTCCTCCTCCTCCTCCTCCTCCGTGCGCCTGCCGCTGCTGACCCGCCTCATCGCCCATTCCGCCCATTCCTCCTCCTCCTCCTCCTCCTCCTCCTCCTCCTCCTCCTCCTCCTCCTCCTCCTCCTCTCTCCTTCGTCCCCGTCTCTGCTCCCCGTCCTCTGCGTCCCCCTAACTGATCACCAACAGCCCCGCGGAGGACGGCTCGATCCACCGCTTCGGGGCCCACTCCACGATCATCGCCACGGGCGGCTTCGGCCGCGCCTACCAGTCGTGCACCTCCGCCCACACGTGCACGGGCGACGGCAGCGCGATGGTCACGCGCGCTGGGCTGCCCATGCAGGACCTGGAGTTCGTGCAGTTCCACCCGACCGGCATCTTCCCCGCGGGCTGCCTGCTCACCGAGGGCTGCCGCGGGGAGGGCGGCATCCTCCGCAACAGCGAGGGCGAGCCATTCATGGCCCGCTACGCGCCCACCGCCAAGGACCTGGCCACCTGGCCCTCGTCGTGCTCGTCGTCGTCATCATCGTCGTCCTAGTCCTTCCTCTTTGTCGCCTTTCTCCTCGTCGCCAAGGATGCGTCCACCGCGAATTGCCTGGGCTTCTCCTTCCCCTCGCCCTCGTTCTGCAATTCGTCCTCCCGGTCCCCGCCCTCCTGTCGAAGATCAGGGCACGACACAGGCACGAGCTCTCGGGGGCCTGCGCGGACGGTCTCTTGCCAAGCGCTGGACCCCCTTCCCCATTGCCACATCCCCAGCGCGCGAAGCGTGCTGTGCGCGTCGCCGGGGGAGGCGCCGTCAGGGGTGGGCGGATCGAGAGCAGAGGCCGGGGGGGGGGGACTTGGCCATGGGGGGAAGCGTCAACCCCCATTCGCCCACTCCGCGCCAGTCGGGGCCGGGGTGCCCAGTCCCGGCCAGGAGGACGTGCGGCTTCGATGCCCTTGGCAACCACGCTGCCGATGAGGCGGCTAAGCAAGCGGCACAGCTTCTGGCCAAGCCTAGATCTCTCGAGCTCGAAACGCACGCCGAACAATCTAAGCGGCTAAAACGATTTCCAACTTAGGTTGCCCACATCCTTCCCAAGTGGCCGGCATTGCCCCCCAAGCGCGGGAAGAAAGGGCTTGAGGCCCCCATGAGTTTCAACCCCCCCCTGGAAGCCGCGTCCGCTCCTCACGTCTGGGACCCTGGGACCGCCTCCCCTTCGCCTCCTCCGCCTCTTTTGGCTGTGCCCGAGGTTGCGGACGCGACTCATAACTGGGAATCTATCAGGGTTGAGTGGATATGCACGGTCTGTCGAGTTTCTACCAAGTCCAGCCTGACACAGATAGCCCGTGCCAACGAGAAATGCCCAAGGTACTGCGAAACCATGGCTCGCTTAGCTTAGAACCCTCGAAACCATAATCTCTTGTGGCTTTAATACTTGGACAATTCGAGTAGCATGATCCTCTGCAAATATTGCGGCTCTTGTATGGAGCACTACAGGGGTCTCAATTCGGAATGCCTGAGAGTGCCTCAGAGTTTGGGTGTTGCTGACCGTCTCGCCAAGGCATTCTCTCTGCGTCACCCGAAAGGGGGGACGAATTATGCCGTCGTTTTCACCCCCCCCATTCCCCCGGCCCTCAGGGACCTGGCAGCACCCCAAGGCTCTGCTGCAAGGGCATCTTCCGCCTCATGAGCCTCGGAGGCACAGCGCCTGTCTCCGCGCTGTGGCGCGGTGGACTAACAGAGAGTGGCCATGCGCCACAAGGTTTCGGGTTAGGGACGGGCTGGCCAACCCTTAGCCTTCCCCTGAAGCCAAGTGATTGTCCTCCTGCTCTTCCTCCTCCTCCTCCTGCTCTTCCTCCTCCTGCTGCTGCTGCTCCTTCTATCCTCCTTCTATCCTCCTCCTCCTCCTCCTCCTCCCTCCTCCTCCTCCTCCTCCTCCTCCTCCTCCTCCTCCTCCTCCTCCCTCCTCCTCCTCCTCCTCCTCCTCCTCCTCCTCCTCCTCCTCCTCCTCCTCCTCCTCCTCTCCTCCTCCTCCTCCTCCTCCTCCTCCTCCTCCTCCTCCTCCTCCTCCTCCTCCCCCTCCCCCCGATCGATCCCCCTCAGGGGAAAGGGGGGGGCCGAGCGCCGACCCAGAGCCCTCGCGGACGTGCATCCGAAAGCCTATACAGCAGGCACGCCGAAGGAGACAGACTGGCCCGCCGACGGGCGTGCCTCGGAGGAGGAACAACACGTCAAGCAGAGGCGAAACGGCCTGGCTCGCCCGCAGCGCTGCCAAACAATGTTCTGAGAGCCTTTTCGTGGTGTCCACGAACTGTTCTTCGAACATCTCTGGCGGAGCCTGTCTTGTTTTATCACATCGGGCCTATGCTCGAAGAAACGTGTGATTGTTCTTAGAACTTCTGGGTTCTATGAACATGTCGTGGTAGGACTAGAGGAATGCCGGGACGGTCGGTCCCTGGCTGCCCCTTCCGCCGTTCTCCCCTTTGTTTTGGGGGCCTCCAGGGCGGCCCTCGTCGCCACCGCTGGATTCGCCTCGAGGTTCTGGCCAGAGCGCGCCCCGGGGAGAGGTCCGGGGAGGAGCGGCATCGGCGTCTTCTTCGGTGGCAGCGTTCGGGGGGGGGTGCTGGCATAGGGGGCAACGCATCGACCCCCAATCGCCCATGGATCGCCGATAGGGGCCCGACAGCCCCCCACCCGCCCAGGAAGGCGCGGTCTTGCTTTCGGGGGCCCATCGCCGACCCATCGACGACGCACAGCCGCTTCCAGGTCAGTGCTTCCAGGGCAATGCTAACAATCAGCTCTGGGCGTTTACCGGCCAGCCCCGCCCTCCTCCGCTACCTCCCCTGCAGGGCGCGTTTTTTCAAGGGCGGCTCCGCGCTTGTCGGGGTGCTCAACCCGAGGGTGGCTCCTCTGGCCTCTGATGCTGCCTTCCGGTCTTCGTCGTCGTCGTCGCGCCCTCTCTCATGACGAGCGCCGTGCCCGGGCTTGCCCTGTGGAGGACTTGGCCTCCCGCGACGTGGTGAGCCGCGCCATGACCCTTGAGATCCGCGAGGGGCGAGGCCTGCGTGGGCGCCCCTGGGGCGGAGCTCGGTCTGGCAGCGGCGGGCCAGGGCGGTCCGCTGCTCAGCCTCCGAGGATGGGCTCCAGCTTGGTCGCGGGAGGTCGCCCGGGGAGCGCTCCTCCCGCTCCCCAGGCACGGTACATCCCGACAAATCTTGTAAGAGACGGAATGCGCGGAGAGAGATTTCGGGACGGCTTCCGCACGGCTCCAGGTGAGAAGGGAGAGCAGGAGGAGGAGGAGGAGGAGGAGGAGGAGGAGGAGGAGGAGGAGGAGGAGAGGAGGAGGAGGAGGAGGAGGATGAGGAGGAGGAGGAGGAGGAGGAGAGAGGGAGGAGGAGGAGGAGGAGGACGAGGGAGCAGGAGGAGGAGGAGGAGGAGGAGGAGGAGGAGGAGGAGGAGGAGGAGGAGGAGGAGGGAGGAGGAGGAGGAGGAGGAGGGAGGAGGAGGAGGAGGAGGAGGTGGGAGGAGGAGGAGGAGGAGGAGGAGGAGGAGGAGGAGGAGGAGGAGGAGGAGGAGGAGGAGGAGGAGGAGGAACATTGAGTTCTAATAGAGGGGATGCGGTGGGCCTCGCCCCCTCTTGCCGCCCCGCCGCCCCCGACTCCCCTCGGAGGCGTGGGCCCGAACAAGGACCACATCTACCTCCACCTGGACCACCTGCCCCCCGAGACGCTGGCCCATGGGGCCCGCAAATCCTTCTCTTCCTCCTCCTCCTCCTCCTCCTTTTGTTCCTCCTCCTGCTCCTCTTTCTCCTGCTCCTCCTCCTGCTCCTCCTCCTGCTCCTCCTCCTGCTCCTCCTCCTCCTCCTCCTCCCCAGGTGTTGGGGCTGGGTACGGAAAGGTTCATGCGGCGATGGCGCGCCGGCGACGCAGGCGAAGGCGTTTAAAGCTGAATTTCTGCGACGCGAGGGCACCGAGGGACATGGTGACGCCACTGGGCTCGACGGAATTTACCTTGAACGATCGGGGCCGCGATCGACTCAAGGTTGAACGATCGACGCAGTGGCAAAAACCTTGGCGCGCGCCGACGCCGCACGAACCTACCGTCGGAGTGCCTGCAGAAGGCCCCCCTACCCTTGCGTTAATTATCTCGGTCGAATTCAGAGGCATTTGGTGGCCTGAAGTCTCTGTCGGAAGGTTGATCGGGCCAGGAAAGCCCACCAAGGGGCTCCCCTGGTGAGAGGATGCTTGGACACCGTCCAGGAGCCCTTACTCTTACTCTTAAAGTCTGGCGTGACTCCCTCTACAGGAGGATTATCCGAAAATAGTAAAACATAGTCATGGGACGATTTTTCGACTATTTGTGAAGTATTTGGAGTATTTGTTGACTATCTTTTTTTCCGTCCAACATCCGCCTTTAGGGGGACATGCCCGACCTAATCTTTTTCCCTCTTTCCTCTCCCTCCTCTCGTCTCACTTCTCGCTCCTTCCCCGTGGGCCCAGAGCGGTGAAAGGGTGGGAGGGGGGCGGGCGAAGTAGGAAATTGGGGTGAGCAGGCGACCACAACCACATACAAGACAGGCGATGGGGACACGGTGCACGGTCGACCGGGGGGGGGATGCCGACCTCGTCCTCGCCCTCGCTCTCGTCGTCGTCTTCCTCCTCCTGGCAAGCACCGCGGGCCTCGTCTCGAGGGCGCTCGAGCCCCCCAAGATTCCCATGCCCCTTTCCCGGCGGCCAATGCGCGCAAGGACGCACTTCTTGAATTATCCCGGCAAAGCAACCTAACAGCGATGTGTAGGAGCATATCTGGAAGCATTCCCCTTAAGATTCAGATGAGAATCCAGTTGTAGAATTCTGCTGTTCTCGCAGTCGTAGTCGCATTCGCGATGACAGTCGCAGTGGCAACGGCAGTCGCAGTCACAGCCTCAGCCTCAGCCTGCCTCAGCCTCAGCCTCAGCCTGCCTCAGCCTCAGCCTGCCTCAGCCTCAGCCTCAGCCTGCTTCAGCCTCAGCCTCAGTCTGCCTTCAGCCTCGGCCTCAGCCTCAGCCTGCCTCAGCCTCAGCCTGCATCAGCCTCAGCCTCAGCCTCAGCCTCAGCCTCAGCCTCAGCCTCAGCCTCAGCCTGCCTCAGCCTCAGCCTCAGCCTGCTTCAGCCTCAGCCTCAGTCTGCCTTCAGCCTCGGCCTCAGCCTCAGCCTGCCTCAGCCTCAGCCTCAGCCTCAGCCTCAGCCTCAGCAGCATCAGCCTGCCTCAGCATTTCAAAATGTGGCCCGGGAATGGAGTTCTGGGAACTCGAAGAACACGAAGTGGCCTACAGTTGGCTCCGGGCATTCAAAATCATGCCCAGGAATGGAGTTCTGGGAACTCGAAGACCACGAAGTGGCCTACAGTTGGCTCCGGGCATCCAAAATGTGGCCCGGGAATGGAGTTCTGGGAACTCGAAGACCACGAAGTGGCCTACAGTTGGCTCCGGGCATCCAAAATGTGGCCCGGGAATGGAGTTCTGGGAAGTCGAAGAGCACGAAGTGGCCTACAGTTGGCTCCGGGCATTCAAAATGTGGCCCGGGAATGGAGTTCTGGGAGCGCCAAGAGCGATTTTGCGAGGATGTCCCAAGCGATTTCGGCTTCGGCGGCAGCCGCCCCGGGTCCCGCCCCGACCCCCCTGAGGAGTCATGGATGCTCTCTTTTGACACCACTAGAAACCTATCAGTCTTCGCTGTTAGGTAAAAACAGTTTCGGTGCATATGTCCTCGTGCCCTGGACCTAGGGGTTCTGGTTGCCCGGGCTGCGGAATCGGCCCTGGGTCTGTCGCAATTTCGTTTTGAGATGTGGAGAGGTTTTTTTACTTGGATTTTGGTCAGCAAATTTGGACATTTTTGGGTTTCTGAGGTTTTCGGTCTTCCTGGTCGCCTGGGCTGCGGACTCCCGGGGCCCTGGGAATTTCAACCAATATGAAAACTCTGAACAGCTATAGATTTTCATGTTTTTTTTGTTATTCCATGTTTCATGATGTTGATCTCGTATGCTATCAGGTTGTTCATGTAGCATGAGTGCACACATATCACATATATATATATATATATATATATTACAATATAACAGATGTGGTGCAACATAGGCGGTGCCATCTATGTTGTGCAACCTATGTTGTGCAATATAGGTGGAGCCACCTATGCGGAGCAACCGAGGTTTGGCAATCACTGAGATGCAATATATGTGGTGTAATCTTCGTTTCGCAATCGCTTCGGAGCAACATCGGTGGTGCAGTCTAGGTGTTGCAACCGGTTTTTTGCAATAACTGCGGAGCAACAAAGGGGGAGCATTCTAGGTGGAGCCATCTATGTTGTGCAATCAATGTGGAGCACTACATGCTGTGCAATCTAGGTGGTGCCATCTATGTTGTGTAATATATGTGGTGCAGTTTATGCTGTGCAGTCTAGGTGTTGCCATCTATGTTGTGCAATCTTTGTGGTGCAACCTAGATGGTCTGATCAGTATTATGAAGCTTACGGCGTACAATCCATGTGGTGCAAGCTAGTTGGTGCGCAATACGTTGCGCAATCAATGTGGTGCAATCTATGTTGTGCAATCGAGGTGGTCCCTTCTATGTGGTGGAATCTTCGTGGTTCAATCCGCCCTGCTGAACTTGATGTTATCAACTTCACTGCTCGCGCAATCATCCACCCACCCACCCGCAAATTGGTTTGAAAAGCCCATGCCGCGGCGATTGCGATGACTGCTTGGCGCTGGCTGGCGCACCGCTTCGGCCACGATAGTGCGCGCATGCACGCGCGCAGAGCGGCCAGCTAGTCTGGCGCGCGCGACCGACGCAGCCGCTGTGGCGCTGACCGCTGGAGACTTCTCAGCGCGTCCGGCAGGCCGTGCTGAAGCGCTGGCACTTCAGTGCAAGTCGGTGACTCGGGCGGACGCAGTGTCCTGGCGACCTCGACAACGGCAGGCGCGATGATGATAGTAACGATGCTTGTGGCGATGATGGCAATAACGGTAGCAAGACCAATGACGGCGCCGATGCTGATCATGCCGGTGACGGTGATGGTGTCCACATGTTGGTGATGAACGCTTTGAAAGGATTTCGGCATGCCCGTGCGGCCGACGGGCGCAAGTGGCCCACATAGTATTATCCAGCCGCCAGCGGCAAGTCCCGCCGCCGTGCCTGGGCTGTGGGTTCTAAGCCTAGTGGATGTTCGTTTGAATTTCGCGGGGGGCCTCACTTGAGGCAGTTTTGAAGCCTCTTTGGGGCCGTTTTGGGGCCTCTTGGGTGTTTTTTGGGGGCCTCTTGGGGGCCTCTTGGGGACCTCTTGGCCGCCTCCTGGGCACCTCTTGGGTGCTTCTTGGGGCCTCTTGGGCGCCTCTTGGGGCCTCCTGGGGGCCCCTTAGGGCGGAAGACTCGGATCCTCGTTTCGTGATCTTCCTGTGGGAAGCCGAAAAAGCGAGAGCGCCAAAATCTTTCAACAACGCAAGGAGAATCAATGACTTCTGCCTGTAGGGGCTCTCGTGGGAGGCCTTGTGAGGGCCTCCTGGGGCGACTTGGAAGCCTCTTGCGCCATCTCGAGGCCATCTTGGGCATCTTCGAGCGATCGTTCGGAGACTCGGGGCCCTCTTGGGCCGTTTTGGGGGCTTGGGCCGTCGTGGAAGCCTTGTAGAGCCCCAGGGAAGCGCCATGGCCGCCCAGGGACCCGTCGGGAGTAGGGCCAGTGGGCCCGACGAGGTGCGACATGGAAATGGCGGGTCCCGATCAGGCAGCACTTGGCATTCTACCACGCCTCAGCGTGCCAGGGGCCACGGTGGCGGATTTTACAGGGATCGTGCCCCTCCCCCAACACGCGCGCACGGGCGTTCGAATGATTTCGACATGCGCGCGCGAAGGGCCCGTGTGGTCGTATTGTGTGTACAAGTTGCACACTTTTGGTTCTCGTGCGAATGCACAAACGCGCACAGACTTGTTTGCGTCATTATGTTGTTCAGCCACTCTTGTTCCATGAAACCTCATTCTTGAAATCCGCACGGAGCTTACGCCCCATATTATAAGAATTGTTGCATGCGCGCGCGAGGCCGCCCGCGTGTGGACTTTGTTTTGTCATCTGCAGAGGGTTATTGGCAGTTATTGTTTTTTTGATAAACGAGTGCGCGCGCATAGTATGATTCGACAAGGATGAGGGAGGTGGGGTCGATACCGGCTGGGCCGGGATGGTTTGAGTTTTCAGTGAAAGTGAAACGGTTTGGTTGGGATGGGGCAGGATCACATGTAATCGTGCTGTCCCACGGAGGGTCGGTAACACCGGGTGGGGGTAGATCTTATTTTTTGTTTTGAATGGAGAATCTACGCGGTGCAACTAACTCCTGTTCGCAGTGAGTTGTCATTTACACTGGTCGCGCAATCATCCCACCCACCCACCCGCAAATTGGTTTGAATAAGCCCATGCGGCGGCACTTACGATGAGTGATTGGTGTTGGCCGGTGCATGTCTGCGGCCGCGCTAGCCCGCGCATGCTCGCGCGCGCAGCGGCCAGCTAGATCGGCGCGACCGACGCGGCCGCGGTGGCGCTGACCGTTGTGCACTTCCGGGCGGACACGTCAGTGCCAGTCGGCGACTTGGGCTGGCGCGTATCATGGCAACGTCGACGCAAAGGTGGACGCGAGGAGATACTAGCGATGCTGCTGACGATGATGCCAAGGACGACGGCAAGACCAGTGACGGCGCCGACGTTGATCAC